GGGGGAGGTACGGCGGAGTGGTGGGGGGCGGCCCAAGGGAGTGGGAGAGGGTCAGGCCCACGCTGCGCCTGGGCTGGGACTGGTCACACTGGCGCAGGGTAGCAGGAAGCTCTCCACACACTCACCGGACCTGGGCTAGGACTGGGTCTCTGCCAACCTGTTCTTAATACTGTCAATACAGTGTCACAAGAGAGGTGGTGTGGCGTTAGAGGGTGTGGTGACAAGACAGGCAGTGAGTAGTGAGCTGACTGGCCTAGAGTGGGCATTCGTGATGTAAACAGTGCCCTGGGCCGGGGAGTAAAGAGCAAGGGCGAAGTCGTGGAGCTGGCAGCCGTGCTGCAGCAGTGCTGAGGGGATGCTGGCTCTGCTGCCTCCTGGCTATGTGTTCTTAGGGGTGTGTGTGTGTGTGTGTGTGTGTGTGTACAAATTAACCTTTTTGCTTTCACCTGTAAAATGGGGACAGTCATAGTAGCTCACGCCTAGAATGGATGCAGTATGTGCTGAGGTAGGGGGGCCAGTCCCCGAGTTGGAGCAGGTGGACAAGGTCAGTGTTGGGTCAGTTGATGTACAGGAGGCAGCTGTGTGCACAAGTTTGTCACTGAGCCATTTGGTAATTGCCTTAATTACGCTTCTCTCGTTGCTAGGACAAATACCTGACACCCAAAATGAAGGAAGGAAAGGTTTATTTAGCTCACAGTTACTGGAGGTTTCAGTCCATATTCTGCTGGGTCCAAGGCAGGGCAGCGCAAAACAGTAAGCAACTTTTCAAGGTGGTGGCAAAGAGCAAGAGCACAAGGGAGGAGGAGCAGCAGCTCAGGCAGCTAACTTCTCTTCCCACCTTACATTGTAATGCAAACTGCCTGCCCCAGGGCAGGTGCAGCATCCACACCCACAGTAATCGATCACAAACTGCAGAAGCCACCCCAAGACTGCATGAGGCTTTGAGGGGGCCAACTATACAGAAACCATAACAGTAATGAACAGGGACTTGGATTTCGTTACTCAGGGGCCACTTAGGGCAGTGGATGCCAGCTGACTTCTCCCCTCTACTTCCCTTCCCTTCCTCCTTTCTTTCAGTATTTTGAAAGAAAGGGTCTCACTATATAGTTCATGGTGGTCTTCAACTCATTATGTAGTCCAGATTGGCCTCAAACTGGCAGTGATCCTCCTGCTTCAGCCTCCCAAATGCTGGGATTAACAGGCAAACACCACCATGCCCATCTCAAACTGATCTGTAGAATCAGGCTACCAGCATTTGGATTCCAACTTAGTGCTTACTAGTTGTGTAATCTTTGGTGTGTAACTTGCTATCTGCCTCTTTTTCATCTATAAAATGAGAATAACAACAAACAGTTCCTTATTCATAGGGTTGTGAAGATTAAACAACTTGATATATGAGGTGTTTAGCATGGCTCTTGACACAATTCTGTATTAGCTTTTTTTCTTTATTGAGACAGGCTTACAGTAGTTTAGGCACAAGGTATTTGCACTTGATTATTTGCTGATTGTTCACACTGAGTCAGGGTAAGTTTTGGAGTAGAGGAGGCACCTGAGCCAGGGGCCGAAATCTTTAGCACCTACAGTGTAGCCTGCAGCAGGAGGGGGAGGTGGTGGGCAACTGGGGTGAGCAAGAGAGGAGCTGGGGTTGCACAAGACAGGGAGGGACTAGATCTGGGTGCAGTGGAAGTGACAACAGCCATAGTAGTCACTCTCAGTACTCTGGAAAGGGTGGGAACAAGGGTACTAGCACTTTCTCTTTGGATCCATCCTTCTCTGTGCCACCATGTGTTCCTTCACTCAGCATGTTACTGAGTGCCTGCCGCTGGGAATGTCACAGTAAAATGATAGCCCCTGCCTGCTGCCTACGCAGAACCTGCTGGCTAAGGGGACAGAGACAGATGTTAAACAGAAAATTGTATGAGTCATTAATCAGCACTGATTGTGATGCCACATTTCCAGTTCTGAATATTTTCTTGCTCTCCAGGCCTGTGGATTAAAACTTGACTCCTAAATAAGGTTAGGTCTGTCTTGCATGCTTTAGCTTTTCAAGTATCTGGGCCACCATACCAGCCTCTGATTCTGCTCTTGAAAGCTTTTCTGCCCAGCGCCATATCTTCCTTGGGCCAGGGTTCTAGCAGCCCAGCATGCCTTGCTGTGTCTCATCTGTCCTCTGATCTGCTTGTGTCTTCTGCCACCTGCCATGAACCTACTAGGCCTTCAGGCCATGCAGCAAATGTGCCTTCCTTTGGGACAGCTTTTCTGGCCACTGTCATTCTTCCAGCCATTCTCCCAGGACACAGTGGATGATTCTTCTTCTTCTTTCTTCTTTTCATGTATTTAGGACAGGGTCTACAGGGTCTCACTACATAGATCTCACTCATAATGATTCTCCTGTTTTCAGCCTCCCAAGCGCTGGGATTACAGGTGTGTGCCACCATGCCTAATCTCAGTTGCTGTCTCAGCATGCCCAGGGCGCAGGGCTGGCACTGCAAGGCAGAGATCGAACCCTGGCTGCTACGCTCTGTACAGTGGATTTTCTATGATTCTAGCACTGCAAGTTAGACTCAAGAGGGGCTGTGGCTGGGGAAGGGGCTGTCTGGGTGTGAGGAGTAGAGAGTGAAGCACAGGGCCCTGAGAGGAACGGGTGGCAGGGTATAGGAGGTGCCTGTGGGCAGATAGAGCACCTAAGCCTGAGGCCCAGAGGCAGGCTCAGTGCTGGGCTGGAGAGTAGTGGGCTGGATCCCTCCCCTTGAAGGATGTTTGGTGGGGGAAGTTTGTTCTCTGGGAGTGTGCAGAATGCTCAGGATGCCAGCGTCTTTGTGGAGATGCACAGCTGGTAGAAAATTGTTTCTGTCAACAATACCAGCAAAAACTGGTGCAAGCCAGAGTTCCACACTGGAAAGAAGGACAGCTCGGAGGCACAGTTACAGTCCATCTTAACCTTCTGGGATTGGAAATGCCCCAACTCTCCTCATGAGACTGGCCTTGTCATTGTGCAGCTACCAGTGGATGTGACCCCCTCGGCAACTTGTTTTGTATTTGAGAAATGCCAGAGCCCTTTGCTAGTGTCTCAGTGGAGGACCCTGGGAGGATTTCTGTCAGCTGGGGGAGAGCAGCCTAGCCTATGTTCAGATCGCTGCACAGAGGCAAGGGAGCGGTGGTGCAGCCCTCAGGAATCAAGTGCACCTCAGATTCAGTAGATCCACACAGTGGCTATAGCCGAAGGCCACAGCCAGAGCTTCCCAGGACCCAAGACTGGTCTGGGCTCCTGTGAGGCTGATATTGCCTCTTCCCCAGTAAGGCAAGGGCAGGCGGAGAGCTGCATGGAAGAAGACAGGGAGATGCAGACTTTCTGGGCACATCCAAGTTAGACGCCAGCACCAATATAGGCCAGAAGGCCAGCAGCTGTCTGTGAGGGACTGAGGCACTGGCAGCGCCTGCTGCAGGCTGAGTTGTGACCAGCCTGGGGTCCCTGTGAGAGAAGGCAGTTAATCTCTGAAGGCCAGAATCCCGCTACCAGAGAGCAGGAACATTGAACTTTTCAATCACATTAATTTTCACAGGAAATTGTTGTCTTCCTTTTGTCTTGAGGTTAGTGATTTATGTTTACCATCCTCTTAACTAGCCTTGAAATTTACTGTTGCCAGGTCACTACCGGCATTCATAAATTTCAGGGTGGCAGCTGAGCATGGCCAAGTGGCTTGGTCCTTGGAAAGGTACATACTGGCTCTTTCGGGGAAGCAGACATCTAGCTGTAGACCGTCCTTGCACAGATGTCCCCAGGCGGGTGGGCATTCACTTTTCAGGAGAAGTGAGACAGCATCTGGTGTACAAGGCTGCAGGGAGACTTCTGTAGAAGCAGCTGTGGTGGAGGTCTTGGGCTCAAGCCTCTCTTCACACCACTGAAGGAGACATTTGTCCGTGTAGGAAGGGCTATGGAACATAGGGCTGGGCCAGATGTCCATCTTCGCATTCCCAAGCTGTGTGACTGGATGCAAGCCCCTTAACTTCAGTCTGCCTCAGTTTCCTCATGCAGAGTAAGAATTCCTGCCAACTAGTGTTGTGAGGGTTAAATCTCAGTACATGCAGGTGGTGGTGCTCTGATGGGACAGGACAGGCTTGGTATGGGCCAGAGTGAGTCTCCTATGTCCTTGCTTATACTGTTCTTTCCATTTCTCCTCCTAAAACCTTTTTCTTTCATCTGTTCATGGGATTAGAACTGGGACTGACAACCTTTTTCTATAAAGGGCCAGTAATATTTTAGGCTATGCAAGCCTTGTGGTATGTGTTGAGCTACTCACCACTGCTGGTTCAGTGTGAAAGTAGTCAGTCATAGGCAATAAGTAAAGTAGACAAGCATGAGTGTGAAACTTTATTTGTGGGCTCACAAATTTAAATTTCACATATCACAAAACTATTATCATCATGATCATTTTAACTGTTTAAAATAATGTAAAAGCCATTTCAGTGCATAGGCCATACAGAAACAGACACTGGGCCTTATTTGGCTTATGGGTTGTGGTTTCTTGGTTTGCATGGTTTGCCTGGAAAGGACAGTCACTCCCCGCTCCCCAAGACTGTCTTTGTGGCACTAAGGAAAGGTGTCTCATGTGGGTTTTTCAGTGTCACCACAGTGCCTCCTGAGGGGTCTGCAGAATGGCAGGAGTCCCTTGGGAACCTAGGGCACATGCCTGTGGCCACCATGGACCTTGCTCTGGATGGGCCAGAACCCCCATCCTGCCTCTCATGTGCTATTCATGTCTGCATTTCAGAGGACAGCTCCATCCAAGATGGGAAGGAGGCAAGGACACGACAGCCTGTGGTGATTCTTTTGGGCTGGGGTGGCTGCAGGGATAAGAATCTGGCCAAGTACAGCGCCATCTACCATAAAAGGGTGAGTACTCCAGGCAGTGGGCTCCCAGCAGGCCACCTCTGTGGGGAGCCTGAGCCTCTGAGCCTTCCTCTGAGCTGCAGTGAAGCCTAACTTCTGGGGCAGGCCCAGGAGTGGTGTCCAGAATGGCCTTTGAGGAAAACAGTGGGGTTATGGGGATTTGAGCAGCCTTGTCTCCCTCTGCTGTGAGCTCAGTGCTGTAGTTGGCCCTTAGTCTCCCCTGCTTCCCCTTCCTCCCTTTCTGGGTGTGTTTCATATTCCCAGGACTACCTCCTTTTCTGACTAGGTAAGTTTCTTACTTAGTTTCCCATGCCAAGTCATGGAGCGTCTTTTTAGGCTTTACTGAGAGTTAGATGGATAGGTTGTGGGACTTAGAGAGAGAACTAGCAGGGCCTGGTTATATTCTGGAAGCTCCTTTTATATCCTTGGCCTCTTGGCTCTACCTTGCCCTGCCCACCATGGCCTTCTCAGGCCAGGTCGTCCCAGCAGGGCAGCAGTGTAGAGAGCCCTAGCTGCCAGCTGGAAGCCCTGGGCTGAGGAGTCACCTGGGAGGCAGGCTGGCTGGTGCCTCCCTCCTTGGCCTACCTTCACTGGCCCACATCTGGATGTGGAGGTCCTAGAATGGGAGAAGGGTTTGGGGAGAAAAGGGGTGTGTGTGTGTGTGTGTGTGTGTGTGTGTGTTCCTAGGAATTGGACCCAGGATAGGTAAAGGATCGACCACTGAGCTAGATGCCCAGTCCTTTTTAATTTTAAGACAGTGACTTACTAAGTTGTTATATTGCCCAGGCTGACCTCAAACTCAGTCTTCCTCCTTCATCCTCCTCAGTAGCTGGGGTTACAGGTATGTGGCACCAGACCTGGTGGAAATGTAATTTCAAGTCTGTAGTCTCCTTAGGACCTTGTGTTGCCTTTTGCACATTGCCTTACTCCACAGGTGGCTTTAGCTCCTGAATTCCATCTCGGACTGGGCTTGGTCTTTTGAAGGCTTCTGCATTAGACTAAGACTCTTGAAAGCAGGGGAGGAGGGGAAGCACTGAGTATGCCTAGAACAGAGAAGAAAAGAAAGTATGTGTGTTGAGTAAGGCTGGGTGGGGGCCCTGAGGGGGTTTGCACAGGGGGGTGATGTGTTTGCCATCGGGAGAACCCCTCTCTGCAAAGTGGGGAGAGTCTGGGTGTGCTGGGAGCCAGAAACGAATTTGGAGGGGCTTGCAGTGATGCAGGCAGGTTGGTGGTGTGGGTGGGAGAAGATGAGATTGTTGGGAGGTAACGAGAAGTTTGGAGAGAGCAGGGAGAATCAGGGGTCCAGGGTCGTGCCTAGTTTCTGACTTGGGCACATTCTACAGAAAAGAGGTGCTTTAGACAGGAGCATTTGGAGGAAAGCCATAGGTTCTAGGGCAGAAGACAATCCCAGGGAATGTGGAAAGGAAAAGAAGTGGTCCTAGTACAGCCCTGAGGAACCCAGACTTAAAGTAGGAGTGGAAGATGAAGGGAAGAAAGGAAAGGAAAGGAAAGGAGGAAAGGAGGCGTGGCAAGGAATGCACAGGGAAACCCAGAAGCCTGTGACAAAATCCACAAGAAGTGAAAAGCCAGTCTCTGGACCATGGGCCATCTTGGGGAGGGAGTGAAGGTGTGATGCAGGAAGAGGTATGGGGGAGGAGGTGGGTGGAGCAGGATCCCAAGGAAGGCAGAGGGGCTGAGGTTGTGGGGTTGGTGAGAGCAGCCTTGGAAAGGGAAAGGCTGCCCTCACCCTGGGAAGGTGGGGATGGGGCTGAGAAGAGACGCTGTCCGGCCCAAGCTCCAGGACTTCATTATTTCAGAGAAAAGAAAAACACCATATTCTCCCACCCAGACCTTACCTTTGTTACACCTTAGGGTGGGGTAGGTATACCCTTCCAGGTTCTTCCTGTATGATCTCTTTGCCTGAAGGAGATCTGTTGAGTGTATAGGTTTGCAGCCTGCTTTTTCAGATCATGAACTCCACTCTCTCTCATGGTAATAAAGTTTCATATCATCTAGTTTTCCAGTTCATGTCCAGATGCCCAGTTTGTCCCCAAAGCATCCTTTATGGCTGATTTGCTCAGCCTAGGATCCAAGCTAGGATCATGCATTGCATCTAGTTCTTCTGTTGCTTAAGCCCCTTTGCTTGTGACTAAAGCATCTCTCTTGTTTTGGCCTCCTGACGAGACTGGGCTGCAAGGGAGTGTTCCCAGGAATGTGTAATCCCAAATGCTGCCTGGAGAAAAGTGCATGGGGACTGAAGGGCCTCTGTCATGTTTGATTGCTTAGGAACGTGGGTGGCCTTACACGACACCCCCTCTGTAGAGTCTTAGGAGCTACAGGACCTAGCAAGTCAGGGGGCTATGGAAGGTGACCTCAGTGTTGGGCTGTGGGTCATTCAGGAACTGTGCCCAAATAGTTTTTTGTTTGTTGCTGCTATCACCGATCATTCCTACTCTTGGGTCATAGTTTACTTTGTACTGGGTACTGTTTTGGTCCCTTGAGATACATTTTTTTTCCCATTTAATTTCCACTGTGATCATATGGGACCATGTTATCCAGATTGTAGATAGGGGTAGACTCAGAGGGCAGACATAAATTGCTCTTTGTCTGTGTTATTAATAAGTGGTGAGGCCAGGAGTCAAAGCCAGACCCTTTGACCCTAGAGTCTGCCCACCTCCAATTCTCCTGACAAAAGATACTCTCTCTAGAACAAGGTAAGGAGGGGAGCTTAGAACTCAGGCAGAGTGGCTTTTTCTTCTTTTTCTAACTAGAAAGGGACCCATCCCAAGGTTTTAGAGTGCACTTGGCCTTGGCAGTGAGGGATGCTGAACTGCAAAGAGATTTTAGAAATGAGAAACAACAGTATTTATTATATTTGGAACTCTAGGATGAGTGTGAGGAGTGGTTTTAGATCTGGGAGCCAGAGAGACTTGGAGATCAGGCCTCTAAATCTTGACAATGTAGATTCTTCTTTCAGTGCCTGGGATGGGGTGGGTGATGGGGAGTGACCAGAGGTGGACATAAGGTCGCCTTAGCTCAGAAGCCTGAGGCCCACAGGTGTTAGTCTCATGGAGATGCCACCTAGATCTGAGAGGTAGGGACAGTGCAGGGCAGTTGCTGCACAGGGTGTGGCTGAGCAGCCAATGTCAAATGAGCAGGATTGGCTGGAGGTGGAGGGGGGAGGGCAGATGTGGGAAACCAGTGTGAACAGTCTTCTGGTCAATGTAGGTATCTCCAAAACCTGCTCCTAGTCTAGGCCTCAAATACCTCTCAGGCTGAGGGGGTGTGGCCAGCTTGAAGCAGTGAGCCCAACAAAGCAGGGCCTGAAGCACTGCTGGAATTTATGTATGGGTACTCTGGAAGTTGGGCCCCTGTGACTCACTCCCCCAGCATCCCTCGGGACTGACTAGTCCTCTCTCCTCTCCCTAGGGCTGCATTGTGATCCGATATACAGCCCCATGGCACATGGTCTTCTTCTCTGAGTCTCTGGGCATCCCTTCACTTCGTGTATTGGCCCAGAAGCTGCTTGAGCTGGTCTTTGATTATGAGATTGAGAAGGAGCCCCTGCTCTTCCACGTGTTCAGCAATGCTGGTGCCATGCTGTATCGCTACATGGTTGAGCTCCTGCAGACCCACGTGCGCTTCTGCCACCTGCATGTTGTGGGTGCCATCTTTGACAGCGGTCCTGGTGACAGCAACCTAGTAGGAGCCCTGAGGGCCTTATCTGTCATCCTGAGGCACCGATCTGCCATGCTGCGCCTGTTGTTTCTGGTGGCCTTTGCCCTGGTGGCAGTCCTGTTCCACATTCTGTTTGCTCCACTCACTGGCCTCTTCCACACCCACTTCTATGACAGGCTACAGGATGCAGGCTCCCACTGGCCTGAGCTCTATCTCTACTCAAGGGGCGATGCAGTGGTCCGGGCCAGGGACGTAGAACGCATGGTGGAAGCACGGCTGGGCCACCAGGTCCTGGTGCGTTCTGTGGACTTTGTGTCATCAGCACATGTCAGTCATCTCCTTGACTACCCTACTTACTATGCAAGCCTCTGTGTCGACTTCATGCACAACTGTGTCCAATGATGAGGTTCTGCCCCTCCTGCTACGGAAATAAATGCCTGATACCTTCCTCCACCACATCTGTCCTGGGGACCTGCTGGTGATCTGCTCAGCTAGGGTCCTAGGGGTGGGAACACCTTGACAGGTTTCTGTGGCAGTCTTGCAGTTGGTTAAGTGTAGCAGTTAGGCTGCTGATTCTTGTGGTTTTCAGGTCATAAAAGGTTAACAAAGCCAGGTTAAGGATAAATCTGAGTTGATTTCCTAAAAAAAAAAATAACTGTGGTAAGAACCCCTTAACATGGTATCTTCTGTCGTAAAAATCCAAGTGTATGCTGGGTGTCACTGCATACCTGAAACCTTAGCATTATGGGAGGCTGAGGCAAGAGGACTGCAAATTCAAGCCCGACCTGAGCAATTCAGCAGGCTAGTGAGGCTCTATTTCAGAATTTAAAAGAAATAAGGTGTGGGGATGTGGCTCAGTGCACATCCCTGGATCTCATCTCTAGTACTAAAAAAAAAAAAAAAAGTGCAGTGCACGCTGTAAGTGCAGTGTTGTGTAGCCAATCTCAGGAATTTAATTATCTTGCATAACTGAAACTTTACACCTGTGGCTAGAGTTTGGATTTCCTGAATAGAAGATCAGATTTGCAGTGAGGTTCCTGGGGAGGGGGGCAGAACTCTGTGTTCCTGTGCTCTCTGTTCCAGAGGGCAAAACCTGTGCTCTAAGCACTGTCCTGTGGGTTTCACTCACTGGTTCACACAAAGGAGGCTTCCCTGACCTAGGCCCTGGAGCCTGAGGTAGATAGCACATGAGGAGCTGAGGCTTCAGGGTTCAGAACTGCCCAGCTCTAGCACCTCAGCGAGAGGAGTCCACTGGAGCTTGGGGGCGGGGGGTGCAGGTGGACTGGGATGCAAGAAGGTGGCTGTGCTATAGTGGGGATGCCATGAGTTGGCCCTACACCCTAAGACCAGAACCAGGGTAAGGGGAGTTTTGGTTGAAGTAACAAGCACTTTTGTCTCCTTGATACTCTCCAGGCAGAAAAGGTGGCTTCAGCCTTATAGTTCTGTATCTCTTATTCTGCAAGTCGCTGTTGAGTTTTGTTTTTTTTTGTTTTTTGTTTTTTTTCCAGAACCAGGGATTGAACTCAGTCCCCTGCACTTGCCAGGGAAGCGCTTATTGCACTGAGCCATCTCCCCGGCCCCTGCAAGTCACTGTTGTACAGTGCTGGTGCAAAGTGAATATTTAATAAATATTTGCTGATGGAACTTACTATGATGATCAAGAGGCTTGGAGTCAGGGTGGGCTTTGAAACTGTGACAGGCAGTGAAGATGCCCAGAATGCTCTTTGGGTTGGGGAGAGAGCTCAGCAGTCTAAAGCATCTGCTTAGGCAAGCGCAGGGACTGACTGGGGTTCAATCCTGGGTACCACATACTGTGCCAGCCCTGCCCCTATGCCCCCAGGGCTGACTGAGCCAGCCACAAAAAAAAAAGCAAAGCAAGCAAGCAAGCGAGCAAGCAAACAAGCTCTGAGTGGGAGCCAATCCCTGATACTCTCCAACTTAAAGACTTCCTGTCCTAGGGCCAAGTGTACCTGCAGTGCTGCAGCCCTCTGGGAATCATCCTGTGGCTGTGATTCCTAGCCATGGCCAACAGGTGGCAGTGCTGTCTGTGCCATGAGACAGCTCGCACTCCCACAGCTTGGTAAGCTTGCATGCTCTTACTCTGGGTCACTGTGCCCTACTAGAGTGCATATGGTCCCACCTGGGAGTGAGCAGCCATCAGGGTCCAAGGCAGAGCAGAAGATAGACACACAAAAGGACTCATCCTGACAGTTTTATGAGCCCCCTTTCATCATGTCCTGCTGCCCTCAGGTCCTATCTGTGCTTCCCCACCTTTCTCCCAGGCCCTTAGCCACCCGTGAACTTCATGAGAGGCCACATGCAGTCTGTGTGAGGGGCCCTTAGTATACTGAGTGCCACCAAATTAGGCACGGGGCTGTGCAGAGCTTCTACTGGGCTCCAACCACGCACAGCATTTCTTGTCTCTCTGGGGGCAGGGGCATCTTAGAAGTGTGTGTCAAAGGCAGGCATGTGGGAAGATGGGGGTGTGGTTGAGAATGTGCTCACAAGTCTGGAGCCATGGATTCTGGCCCCTTCTATTGCAGCAGACTCATCTCCAGCTTTAGGACCTGCCCAGGAGGTACCTAGGATGTTAACCTGCCTCATTGGTAGTGGGGAGCTGTGCAGTGAGCAAAAAAGCTCCCCATTTCTAGTGCTAGTGGAAGCTGCAGCTCCCAGCTCGGGGGTGGGGTCCACCGAGGATAGTAGGAATTTGTTTCCACTGGAGGTCTGAGGCACTAGCTACCCTGGGCTGCTGGGCACTCAGATGACTGTAATAAAAACGTGAGAGGCTGATGGTCATCCATTGTGATCCCTGGCACGTTTCAGGGGACTAGAAAAAGACTTGAAACTATGTTTTCACCAAGCTTGTAGCTGCTCTTGGCTTAGGTTGGGGGGACAGAAGTTGTATACCCTCTGTACCCCCAAGCTCTGACCTCTTCTGTGATTAATGAGCTGACGATGCTGCATCAATAAGGAATTAACCTAGAGCCCTACCCATCAATAGTCAGGAGCCCAGACCCTAAGCCCCACCCCCACCCCCACCCGAATGCTCCAGGGCCCCCAGAGGAGACAACTCTTGAGTTCAGCCCATCCCGCTACCCTGCTTCCCAGAATTAACCCTGGAGCTGCCTCAGTCTACTTTTCCTTCCGCCACCCTGCTTCCCAGAATTAACTCTGGAGCTGCCTCAGTCTACTTTTCCTTCTATCAGCCCCCAGCCCAACACATACACAGGCAGCATCTGTTTACATTGGTTTAATCCATGTCAAATGTAGTTTACAAAGGGAAAGGACAAGTACCTTTGTATAGAATATACAGACACAGTATCACACCATGGGGCACACAGGAGGGGCAGGGAGACAACCTTCTCCTGGGAATAGCAGCTCTACTCCCAGGAATGGTTCTCAGCAAAATCTGGGCAACCCACAGCACCCTCAGCCAGCCCAGACCTCGGCCTCTGCTTTAGCTTGGGTCCCAGTTCCTTCCCCACCCCAAGTCCTCAAAAAGAGCCTCATGAGCTAAGACTAGGGATAAGATCATGTCCTGTGGGGCACGGGCCCCATGCCTGGGAGAAGAAATATACACCACTGAACACTGAGCACATAGGAGAGGGGAGGGACGCCACGGGAAAGGGAGGCAGGCAACCCAAGGGCTGGATAGGCCGAGCCCCCAGCCAGCCCTGAGGGAGGCACTGCTTCCAGAGGTTCCTCAAAACAACAAGAAAATCATACAACTGAGGGGAGGAGCTGGAGGACGAAGGTGTTGTCCCATTTATACACAACATTGTAAACATACACAGTCTATATTACATGTGCTTCAGTCTGGTGTCTGCATGTCTGTCAGTCAGTCAGTCTGGGAGCTGGATCTCAGCATTCTTGGCTGCCTACTCCCTGCCCCACCTCCCTGCCCTATCCTGGGAATGGAGGCTGGAACAGGTATGGTCCCCAAGCTTAGTGGGAGCCAGCAGGTAGGGCTGGGCCTCAGCCACTCTGGCTCCAGAGTCTGTGTACGTGTGTGCGCGCGCACACGTATATGAGTGTATGTGCATGTATATACATGGGGAACCTGTGTGCAAGTATGTACAAGGGGAGAGGGTCACTGTCACACAGAGGCTGGGGCGCAAGGCTGCTCAAGGCAAGGCTGCCTGGGTAGCTAGCTCACAAGTAGATCCTCCGCAGGTCTCCAGGTGCTGTGATCGTGTTGCACTGAGGGCACAGCTTCTTGGCACCCTGCAGGGAGGGGGGCTCTGGTTAAACACAATGTGGCACACCATCCACGCGAGCATCAGGGCCTATACTAGTGTCTGTCGGGCTAGTGGTGTGAGCCAGGCTGGGGATGCATAGGCTGCCTCTGTGAGCAGGCAGGCATACTCTTGTGTTGGGGGGCCACCAGGATCAAACCGCCTGGCTGGCCCCGCAGCGGGAGCCACAGTAATGAGAACAAGGCTGGGTCCAGCTGTGGCTGCCGCTGCCCTAACAAGATTACACGCGGCCTTTGATCAGGACACAGAGCCCACGTCCGGGCCTTTTATTGCTGTCTCCGGGCGACATTTTAATGGCTGCTCCCAAGCAAAGAACGGGCAGGAGCAGAAGGCACTTAGTAACTGGAGGGGGAGGGGTGCGGCCTTGGTCCCACACGCACACCTCCAGCCTCTCTGGACAGGGGCCTCACCAGCAGTGTGGTGCCCTGAGCCTTCTTGGTGGGTGGGGTGTGGGGAGGAGAACGGAGAGTTTAATAACGTTGTGGCTGGGAGAGAACCCATGGAGCTTGGGTGGGATAAACCCTGGTGTTGGCTCTGTTCCTCGCTCCCACCCTTCCTTGCCCCTCAGTCCACATGTATCTCCTCCAAGGAGAGACAGCACCCACACAGTCACCACCCCTGGCCTCTCTGCCGCCTCACCAGGGTCCGAAGCCAGCACTCCTCACAGTGCACGTGCCAGCACTGGATTGACGTCAGGGGCATCGAGTACGAGTCCTAGAGTGGAGGCAGGAGAAGGGGTTGCTAAATTGGGCCAACCCTCAAAGAGCCCAGATCACAGTGCAAAGACCCTCTCTGATCCCCTGGGGGCAGCGAAGCCTGATCTAGAGCACCCCTAGGTTCTGCCCCACTCACCATGCAGATGAGGCATTTGTACCGGTCCCCCCGAGATAGCTGCCGTTCAAGCTCCCTGACCCGAGCCTTCAGGGCCTCGAATGTGGTCACAGTGGAATCTTCGGTGATTCTATAAAGAGGACACAGTTGAGCAACACGCTGGCACCCCTACTCTGAACCTCCAGCCCGCACTTCCCTTAACTCCAGCAGAAACATCTCAGCCACCCACCTGCCCCTCCTATTCCATGGCTGCAACCTCAGGCTTCAGACCAGAGTGTCTCACTGTGTTCCTCCACTGCTACCTCATGAGTTTCCAAGTCACATACCTGAAAATCGTAACTATCTCTGCTCAGTGACCTCTAGTTTGGGGCTCAGTGTTTCTTTTGTGGATCACTCCACTAGCCTGAACAAACAGCTTTTCTGGTCCCGTCCGTCATCTCTGCCCTATTCTGCATCTAGAACAACTTCCATTTTTTTGTGGAATCAGGGATTGAACTGAGGCTCTTGCACTTGCCAGGGAAGCGCTTATTCTTATTCCACTGAGCCATCTCCCTGGCCCCCAACTTACATTTTAAGAAGCAAATCTGATCATTTTTATTCTTAACATTTCAGGCTTTCCCTCAGTAAACTACCAAATTCTCAGAAACCTTTTCCAACCCTGACCAGCACTGGGGCTCTCAGGGCATCCTGTACTGAACTCCACCCCAACAGTCAAACTGCAAGGGCCTCTGTCTTCTCCACTTACCCAGTATTTACTATGTACACAAGCCCTACTTCAGGCATGTGAACACAAGTAAACTTCTGCAGAGCAGGGAGCCAGTCCATCCTCCAGAAAGAGGTGAGAGATGTGGGCCAGGGTAAGGTGAATAGAATCCAGATCCTTCTGCTGCAGAACTGGCCCCCTTTAAGGACTTCCGTTACTTCTCCCAAGTAATGTCTAATAAGCCAACAGCCCTCAGCCTAACATCTAAGTCCTGTTCCACAAGTCCCTGCAGTGTTCACACTGGTGAACAGAGAATGGCTAGGGCAAATCTCAAGAATCCCTCCCATCCTTCCTAAAACAAGGATCTGGGAAGCTCAGAGAGAGAAAAATACTGCCTGAAGGAGTAGAAATGATGGTGCTGGAGGTGAGCCTAAGGGAATAATGATGAGAATAATACAAATAAAATAGCTAAAATTTATTAAGAACTTACTAAATGCCAAGGATTATACTGAGAGATTGGTAATTACTATCTTATTTACACCTCACAAAACCCCATGAGAACACTCTAATATTCCTATTTTACAGGTGAAGAAACTAAAGCACAGAAAAATTAAACTGCCAGCTCAGAGTTCACACAGATTTGGGGAGATGGGAGTCCACTAACTTCATGACCAATCCTCAGCTATGTAATTAACCTTTGTTGCACACTGGTTCTAAGGAGCTGGGTCTCTAGGCCAAGGGACAGAAGGAGAAAGAGGCCCAGGAACCCAGACAGGATGGTAAGCTCACCTGTAGATAGGCAGAAGACCCTAAGGTGAGAAAAACAACTTGTCCAGCAGGACAAATGTCATACTTAGGAACCAAGATTCATCTCATAGGTGATAGGAAGTTGTTGAGGATGTTGGAAGAGGAGAGAGACTGAGTCATTAAGGTTTAAAAGATGCAATCAGCTGGGCATGGTGGCACAGTAGGAAGATAGCTGAGTTTTGAGACCAGCCTGGACTGCATAGTGAGTTCAAGGCCAGTCTGAACTACATAGATGGTCTCAAAAAACAAAAATAGAACAAAAACAAAAGATGTATTGTATCAAGGAAAGGTGGGTGCAAGTCTTTAGGTGGAAACCCAGAGAAGTATGGTATGTGCACAGATATACTGGGGTGGGAGTTTGTCTGCCAGCTTGGGGGAGACAACTGGGGTGGGAGTAATTGTGGGTGCTGTCATCAATGGATACAAGTGGTCCTGGGGGATGTGAGCAAGGCAGTGGTGAACACACACCACTTTCCATCTGTGCACTTCTTCTGAGGGTGCTACAGCAGCACAGGATGTGACTCTCTAATGGCTGTATCCCTGTTCTTGGATGCTATAAATCCACTGCCCCAAGGGTCCATGATTCTCTCTGTCCTGCTTCTCTATGGGGTATTGAGCAGGCTCTGCCTGTAGTTCCTTCTGGTACTGGCTGATTTCCCAGAGCTTCCATTCAATCCTCTGGCTCCATCTAGGAAGCCTATACCCCGCTCCTTCCACACAAGCACCCACACAGCTGCCTCCTTCCTTGGCACTTTGCCCAATGCCATATGTGCCATCCCTGTCTGGACTGCTGGATGCTATACTTTCTCTCTAGGAACCACAATGGGGATTTCAAAGAAAATTAAGGCCTACTCCAACAGCACCACAGTCACAGTGAGGGCCAAGGCACAGCTCCAGAGCCCACATAACCCAGATTTACTCAGTACACAGCTGGTCTCTAACCTGTGCTCTGGTGCATGCTCAGCCCTCCCACCCTCACTCTGCTTGGCTGTTGGCTGTAAGCCACCTCAGTCCTCCAGAGCATGGGGTGACCAGATTTCTAAGGAAGCTACCACATCCTGCTTTTCCCCTTCTCTGGTCTGTAAAACAGACCTATGGTGGAAACCCATACTCTGGATAGAGGTCACAGGAACTGAAGGGCCCCCATCTTGCTGATCAGAGCCAATAAAAACCTCTACATTATATGGAACCAGTCCCAACTTGTTCCAGAGTCCCATCTTCTAGAGCCTGTGCTAATACAGGGGGGACAAAACTGTCAGCTCCCACAGTCTTGATGGGGGGAGGCAGTATCTTCACGGACGGCCACTAGATCTGGCCCCCCACCTCCCCTTATGGGCGCCATCGCTGATTAATGATCTTGTCTTTCTGATTTATGAGCAGCCCCTCCAGACGAGGGTGAGCGCCCCTTACAGCCCCGCCCGCCCTGCTCAGCCAGAGTACGGGAGAATTATTAAATAAACATCCATACGTCATTCCTGCCCCCCCAAAGCTGGTTGCGCCGAACCCGTACGGCCTGCTTCGGCGCTGACACAGAGCAGCTGCGGTGATTCATGGGCAGCCGGGCCCCGCGCCTCGGCCCATACATCATGCCAGCAGCACTTGCGGCCCCGGCCGAGATAAACTGATCAACCACAACGGGCTGGAATGAATTTATGACAACACAAAATGGAGGGAAACAAATGGGAGGTGACCCTAGGCCACCGACCCAGCCCTCAGCTGGCCTGCAATCCACTCTCCTGGCAGGAGGCAAGATGGAACACTGGTCCTAGAATGAAGAGGCTGCCTTTTAACCCCAGGCCACCTAACCTCTAACTGGAGGGAGGGGGTGAAAGCAAGGAGTAATGGCCAATGCTAGTAGCTCCAGGCAGCCCAGACGGGACAATGCCACCTCCTGGGGCCAGAACTGGCCTTACCTGGGCTTCTGGAAGGATAGTGAGATGTCCCCTAGTGTCAAATACTTGCGTCTCCTAGAGATCCAAGCCAGGGGCTACCTATTTCTGTGTAAAGTGCTAGCAGATCCCCTTCTCCCCTGCTGAAGAACCCTGGCCAAAAATTTCTACCAGAAACGATGAGACCTGATGCTCCTGCCTAAAACCCACTGTGAGCGCCACCCGGGACAAGAAAAATGAAACCAATTTAGCTTCCGATTAAGAAACAGAAACTGGAGATGAATCAAGTGCGCCGGCTGGGCTGGGCGGCCATACATCACATTCCCGGGCGGAGGCTGCCGCAGCGGGCGGGTGGCAGGCAGACTGCTCCTCCCTCCATCAAGGCTCCAGGGGCCGCGGCCCAGCGATCAATTCACAGAGTCACGCTTAGCACCAGCTGGGCTCCACTGCCGGCTCTGTGCCCAGGGCAGCAGGACCAAGCAGCACTCGGGTGGGCCAGAAGCCCTGGCAGCAGGCCTTCTGGCTGGCAAGAACCCCCTCCTGGCCAACCACACTCACTTCTCAATGTCGCTGTTCTTACAGGTCTTCTGCATGGCCTCCTGCTTGCTGCTTTCGCCATTGCTGGTGGATGGCATCTCTGTGGGGATAACAGGGCAACTCAGCTGTTGGCCAGACATGGGAGAGGGCTTGGGCTCGAGTCAGTCCTGCCATCCAGTCTCCCCATGACTGCTCAATTGAGTTGGGACTTACCGTCACTAGCCCACTTGGAAAACTCAGGCGTGATACGGGTGCTGGGAGGGCCACCACTAGAGGAAGGATGAAGAGAGCAGAGTGAAGTGTGCAGCAACAAGACAGCCCCGAGGGTGGGCATGTGCCGGACCCAATCTCTAGCTTTCTGCCTTCCCGTCCAGCCCACACCGGCCCACACTTGCTTTAGGACTGCACCCCGGAGTGCTTCTCTTTCCTTGGCTTCACCAGGCTCCTCGCCCGTGCAGGGGATGACATCAGCCTCTGTGTATCTGGCATGGTAGTCAAGGACAGTGGATCCGAGCTGGCAGTAGGCCAGGGGGGCTAAATCCACAGGAAGAATTCCCCCAGCCAAAACTGAGACTCTGCCCTGAGGTGAGGTACCAGCTAATTTTTATTCCCATTGGCCAACTCAGCCCACCCAGTCCACACTGCCCCAAGGATACTGTGGCTTCCCATACTCCAGAGTGTCATCGCCATCCACATCCAGGTCAGCATCACTGTCTGGGTTCTCTTTGCCACTGCACATGACGAAGCCAGAGCCTGTGGGAGGCAGGTTGTGAGGAGGACCCAGGGCAAGCAAGCATATGCCAAGGGGACCCCTGATCTCTCTAGGAAGGGGACAGATAAGGCCTGGGGCTGGGATATACTGTGTCAGATACTTTGTGCTCCCGACTAACCTGGTGGTAATGAACCTACAGTACACACTTTTAAGGCCAAAGCTGTTAATGTATGAGTTGTTTGTTCTAAACTAAAAAAACCCTCAGTATTGAGGTTTATTTGCAGTGCTGGCATTTTGTGATAAATCAGTGGGTTTGGGGCTGGAGTTTGGGCACAAAACACACTTCTCTGCAAGGCTCGCATCACTGCTCTAGCTGGTCAGCCTTTCACTCTACACATCTCTAGCCTCAGTCACAGCATGCTGCTCCAGGCGGTCTCTGCTTACAATCTGCCCCTTTTATACACTGTGTCATGTCACCAGGAGACACCCACCCTGGACCTGCTAGCCACTTGTCTTTTAGGTCCAGAAAGAGCCAGAAGATGACAGAGACTGAGGGGAAAGGTCAGCCCCAATCAGGACCCTCACTGCCCTGTGTCTGACTGCCTAACCTCTCAAGTCCATCAGAGAGGAGAACAGGCTGGTTAAGGCCAATCAGAGCATGGAGCAGGACCCCCAGCCAACATCCTGATTTTGGCTGCCAGGTCCTTGCCAGCAAAAACACCAGGCAGCTGTTCAAATATTTGGTGTCTGAAGCGCCTGACATTAATTATTCATTTCTACCTCACGAAGCCCAGATTCCTGGACAAGTGTAGTTATAAAGGGATTAGGAAAGGACAGATGAGAGAGGACAGCCAGGCACACCTGCCTCGGAAAGCAGACCATGAAGCCAACCAGGCTGACACCTCTGAGGTGCATTTGGCAAAGCTACAGACACTGGCTAATGGGGAGCGGTGAGTTCAGAGGTGGCAACAGGCTCCCTCACCTGCCAGGTGGTCTGACTCTTGGGACCACCTGTCCTAATAGTCCATGGTCAGGGACCACTGAGCTGCCCCTCACTTCTGCTTCCTCTCAGACCACCTCCCTAGCTAGCATGTAGCCCTGCTAGGGACAAAAGAAGACTTTGTAACTAGGGGATCAGCAAAACGTCTCTACAGAAATGAGGACAAAGCACAGGGCTCTTTTCTATGATTTTGGAAAATGCTTTCTATTCTTTTTTTGGAGACAGGGTCTCACTTTGTGATTCAGGCTGGCCTCAAACTCACAGCCACCTTCCTGCCTCAGCCTCTTGAGTATTGGGATTACAGGAGTGTGCCACCACACACAGCTTTCTTATCCATTATTTCTACTCTTACATCTTAGTGCTTTCATTAGGGAAGCAGTTTTAAATGTATCGTTAAGCCTCTTGCCTATTCTCCATCTTGCTTATCACCACACACCTCTGATTCTTATGTTCCAAAATCTTCAGTAGTTCCCCATGGCATGCACAGCCATGCTCAGGCATCTCAGCCAGGCCTGCAATGACCTACAAACATCTCTTCTCCATTCTCTTCACTCCAAAAATCCTGTGTGCTGGGACACCAAGACCGCTTGTCCTAACAGCCACACAGAGACCTCTGTTCATGCTGTTCACTTGATTTGGAATGCTATCCATCTTTCCAGCCCTGAAAAGTACTTTCTTCTTTATCTTCCTTTTCCTTTCTGCCCTTCAGGTTTCTGGTCTCTGCACCAGAAAAAAGAGGGTGGGCACTGCCTGGCTCCACCCACCCCCAACAATCCTCATTTGCCCTCAGCTGGGAGGCTCTGACACATCTGAGGCAGCAGGCGAGGCAGTAGGGAGGTCAGCAGCAGGGCCATTAAGCTGAGAAAACACCAAGTTACAGCGCAGTCTCCTGCTCACGCCAGGTGTCCTGACAAGCAATTCTTGCCTTGTGGGTGAGTGGCACCTCTATAAACCCTCTGACAGTTTAGGAGACAAACTCCGCCATCAATCAGAATGTAGCTATCAGGTTCACTTATAGCCTGCACCCATGAGTCTGCCAACCCCCCTCTCCCAAGTACACACTGCTCAGCAGCCAGCTTTAAATCCTCCACTTAGCCTAGTCCTGCCCTGCCCTGCCGTTCAAGAGGGCAGAAAAAAAATCAGAGAACCCTGGGACTACTCCTGAGTGTAGTATGGCTCCCTGGGCAAGACAGACATAACGGTAGCCACAGCTGTCAGAGAAGTCCCAACATACAAAGCCTGAGTCCTTTACCCTGCAGTCTCACTGCTTACCCTGGTTAGACCAAGACTTTTTTCTTTTTTAGTGTATTTAGTACAGGGCCTCACTACACAGATCAGACTCGCAGTAATCCTTTCTATTTTTCAGCCTCCCAATTGCTGGGATTACAGGTGCGCGGCACCATGCCCAGTCTCATTCATAGTCTCAGCTTGTCCTGAAGGTGGGATTGAGCCCTTGGCCCGTGTTTGCCTAAGCAGGCAGCTTTAATCTGCTGAGCTATTAGGCTGGCCCTTTCATTTTGTTTTTTTTTTTTTTTTTTGAGGCAAGGTCTCTCAAGGCAGCTCAGGCTGGCCTCAGAACTAGTTGTGATCCCCTTGCCTCACCCTCCTGATTGCTGAAATTATGTGTGCACCACAGCATCCAGCCGGACCAGGGCTCATGCTTGAGTCAAACATGTCTACTGTAGTCTCCTAAATCCTAGATGCTTTATGCCCCTGCCACGTCTAGAAACTTCTCCATGCTGATCTGCAAAACCAGTGCTTACCCATTTGGCAGGTCTCATTCAGCTCAACTGTTTCTTCTGCCAGAACTTAATAGTGCCAGAAGGACAGCTCACCTCTTAACATTCTTTGAACCTTTCTAAAGTACACACTTAGACTTTGTCTGAAGAACACAGACTTGCAAGGTCTGCTTCCCACTGCTGGGTCAGGTGCACCACAGGGGGCTGTTTGTATCACTGACAGCTCTAACAGGTTTGCCCTAGGTGCTCTGAGGGGTGGACACAACTTCCCTATGTACTTAAGTATAGACATCTCTTCCTTGGTGTCTACCCAAACTCCTCGCAACTCTAAGATCACATTTATTCGTGTGTATTGACACTGTTCCTCACCAGAAAGCTTCAAAGTTCACAGGTCTGACCTACTACTGTGATCTGAGTATTACCCAGCAGAGCTACCCAGGTCCAAACAGATGCCACATGACATACCCCAAGAGTAATGGCTGAACACTGGCAGCACAGCTCTGTGAGGTCTGGTGCACCTGAAGGCAGCCCCAGCCCCTTAGCACACAGCCTTTCCTCACAGACCTTAGCTCTCAGCTGGGCAGAGGCAGGAGAAAGAGCACAAAACATCTTGTTTGTCAAAGGAAAGGCCTCTCTGTCGCTGGCATGAACAGTCTCCTCTGACCCCAACTCTATCCTCTAGCTGAGACAGATGTTGGGAACCTCTCTCTACCCCCACAGGTGTTCAGAACAGCCTGCTACTGCCAATTTCACTCTGGTGCTGCCCCAGCCTGCTCCAACCTCCTTCCCAGCACATTAAACTTTATTTTCTTAATGAAATGTCACTTGCTGACTTCTGGCAGAATCATAATAAAAAGAAACGGCCATAAAGCCATTTTATGCAGACAGCACCCCTGCCAGCTTGTGCCCCTCCCCTTTAGAGGAAGGCTCCACAGTCATTTTATGTTCTCAGCTGCTGGAATATCCCAAGCCAGCACTCAGAAGCAAGATGGTACAGAGAGCGCCTTTCCAAGTCTCTGGCTCCTATTCCATGCAGCTCTGGGAATAACAGGCAAGCTGCCACCCCTGCTGCTGCTGTCCAGGGAAGGAAATTGGTCTCTAGGACCTCCAAGATGGTTCCAAATAACTCTCAAGACTCCCTCAGTAAGAGAGGACCCCTTGCTATAGTTCTACCTGAAAGCAGAAGAAAGGGTGGATCCCCACTGACAGGTAAAGCAAGGTTGACAGAATAGGTGCTGGAGTCACTGTGTCCTAGGTGGATGGACAGTGCAAAAATCTGAAAGGGGGAGAGGGAGAGGGGGAGGGAAGACAGAGAGAGAAAGAGGGAAAGAGGGGGGAAGCGGGGGGGGGAGAAAGAGAGAAAGAGAGAGAGAGAGAGAGAGAGAGAGAGAGAGAGAGAGAGAGAACAAGCCCTAAGTGCAGAAATTATATGTAAGTCTAAATTTTATGAAAATGACCCTTCTCCCATAAGCTCATTTATTCTTGGGTCACTGAGGGGGGGTTGGGAATCAGTATTAATTTAATCGATTGATCAAATGATCGATTGAGAAACTGGAGATGCCTGTTTACTGGGGGCAGTAATGTCCTGGAACCTGAAACCACAAGAAAGGAGCTATTGATTTCCTCACCTGCTCCCAAACCAAATCAGAGACCAGGAAGAAAGGAAAGTCTTGGGGCCCTCCAGAGCCTGGTGCTCACCAACAGGGAGGGCAGGGGCAGCAGCTTCCGGGGAGTTTTACACTGGAATTAGTTACAGATGCAGTTACGGTGTCTTGTGTAAACGCCATCGATTGGGGAGCTGACAGTCTGGGGAGCTGCGATGCGGGACAATCAATCGGCCTGCAGTGTCACCTGCCACCTCGCTGAACAGTTGACAATGCAATTATCCAGTGTGGAGGCAGGGAGTTGGCGTGTGTCAAACGCACTTAGCCACTTTCCGGGGCTCCTCAATAACGCGTTTCACTGCCTCACGTCAGGAGAGACGCACAGAGACAGACGCCGTTTAAAACCATTGATACTTGCTCCTTCTGCCTGCACACCCTTTGTCCCAGCTTAACAACTGTGTTCCAGAGGCGATTAAACCCAGTCCTTTGCCACAGGGGACAGAAGGCACCTTGCACCCTACCCACCAGGCAGCAGGCATAACTGAAGCCTGTGGGAATGAGAAGGCTGCCACCCCTCGCCCTCTTCTCTATCCCTAGCTGACCTCCAGTGGTGTGTACTGTTCCAACAAGTCACTGACAGAACCAAGCTGCAGCTGCGTGGGACATCTGAGCACCAAGGCTCCTATCTTTTGAGAAGCAATATGCCAAAGGAAGCAACAGTGGGGATGAGGCCCACACACCTTAACCTTCACCTCTCAGCTCTTGGCCTGTACTCTTTTTCTTTTTTTTTTCTTTTTTTGGCAGGACCAGGGATTGAACTCAGGCCCTTGCACTTGCCAGGGAAGCGCTTATTCCACTGAGCCATCTCCCTGGCCCCTTGGCTTGTACTCTGGCACCAAAGTTTCATCAACAAACAGCTCATTACAAGAACTGCACCAAGGTGCCCTGCCTGCTGCTCTCTCCCATGATTTTTCATTCTAGGGTTTCTTGGAATGACTCTAATCTGAAACTTGAGAAAGATGTGGTCTCTAAACCAGGACCTGGCAAGGCAGAAGCCCCGCATAGCCAAATGACTTAGCATTCTTCTTCCCACTTCACCTGTGCCAAAAAGGCTTCTTGCTGGATTCCAGCATAAATTCACCTAGGCCTCAAAGACAGAGCTGTAGACATATACTTCCTGTGCAACCTTCTGAGAAGTCCCTCCATTTAGCTGCTCTCATGTCAATGACATCACTGCCACTTTATTTGAAACCAGTCATTCCCATGTCCCTTCTCCAGTCTGTCTCTTCAGATGTGACGAGCTCTGGCTTTCCCAAATCCAGCTCGGTGAATTGTCAGAGAACCAAAACAGGGGAAGCCCAACAGGTCTCTTCCCCAGGACCTGAGAGTAGTAGAGGCAGGCAGGAGAGAAAGACATGCCATGACTCATGTATCACATTTGTCCTTTGACTGTGGGTACGGGTGGGTTTGGCTCCAAGGCAGGTTACCTGTGGCATGTTTTCTTAGCCTAGGCGGAGCCTATTCTGTCCAGGTTTGGCAGCATACCCCAGAAGACCATCTTTTTCTCCTACACTGCTAATCTTTTTCAGGTGAAGAACTAGGTTTTGTGTGCTAATCTCTATGCAAACAGCACTAGAGGTTAGAAAAACCTCAGGTTCTGAAAGGGCAATCAGCAACTTAGATATGAAGCCTAGAGATTTCTCTAAAACTATGAAGGACAGGTTTCTTTTGTAACAATAGCTTCTTCCCACTTAGTTCATAAAACTTTTAGCTATTTCCTTGGGTCTCTAAAAAAAAAAAATCTACTTCCAGGTGGGCCTAACTTGGTGCTTCCCTCTCTCTCTGGTCTTTCACATTGCCCTAAAATATCAATTCCAAGCACTTGTAGGCCTGATATCAAGGCCTCATCCTCACTATCCACCAGTCTCCAACTTGAAGGCTCACTGCCCTCAGCCAAGTGTCTACAACAAAATTCTTGCTTATCTGCTGCTTCCCTCAGAAGTCACATGTGGGGCAACCCATCTGATCCATTAGATGGACTCTCCCAGTAGGCCTGGAGGAAGCTTTCCTGAGGATGATGAAGGGGTCCTGGTCTAGGAGGAGGGACAGGGAAGATTGGATACAATAACTTATTTGCAGTTCTTCATCCTTTCATATCTAACAAGGACAGCAATCTCTCTTCTGTCAGCACACATGGTACAGCTTAAATGGCCCTCTCCACTCGCTTGTGCATCCTGCCTCTGTCTCCCTCTCTCTGAAGTCAGCTGGGCAGCTTCTTCAGCTGGCGTTATCACTCCCTCTAACCGGTCTTGGCAGGCAATCTAATTCCTCCTGAAAAGGTCACCGCCATTTTAACTGCCTTTCAATCACATTAAGCACGCGCTGCCCGGCTTGCGGCCTGGCCCGCCCGGCGGGCGATCAATGCACTGCACTGACACCAGCCCGCCTGGCGGGGCCACACCTAACCCCCCAAGAGCTAGGCCCACTAGACTTGGCCAGGGAGGGTAGGCTGACAGATGGCCAGCTCTTGCAAACAGGGTTTCAGGGGCAGAGCTGTTGGATCAGCCAGGCCTCCCTTTGATAGCTCCTCCCCCACTGAGGAGGCTTGGCCTCCTGCGCTCCACAGTGCCCCATTCCCTGCCTGGTGGCCCCGCTGATCTCTCGCTGTAAAACAGCCTTTCAAGTCAGCCTGTCTTTTGACTGCACTAAGCTGTTTAAGAGGCGGCAGCAGCTTCTATCAGGAAAGCTGGAACAATTCTCTGCAGATAAAGGCACCTCTGGCCGTTCCCTCTTCAAGTTTCACTCTCATTCTCGCTCTCCAGATCGCTCAAAGAAAAGCCCCCTTTGAACTCTCCTCAGGAATTCATGAAAGAAACAACTTCGCAGTGTAAACACTCAGGGAAAACTGACACCGCCCAGGGCCTGAGAGCCCTCACACTACTCTGAAAGTACACCCCAAAGACTGCCAAATCTGCAGGCCCTGTGCACCTTCGACACCTCAAGTCCTGTCTGGTCCCCAGAAGCCATCAGGACTGGTTCTGTAGCAAGCAACTTGACTGAAAAGTTGCCACAGCAACGAAAGACGTGAATAGCTGTAGCTGCCATCAGAGCTAATCAGGGGCAGCCTGCCACTACACACCCGTGTGCCCAATTCCTGGGCTCACAGACTTCATTTGTTCTTCCAGGGTCCCAGATATGGTACAGATCCTGCCCAGGACCAGAGCACAAAGACAACTGACACTATGCAGCTCAGGCTCAAGGAATCAGTTTGATTTAACCCTCTTGATTTATGTTTTAGCTTGTTTTCAGACATTTGGGTAATGTGAGAAGCCCAAAGGTATAACACCTGTCTGGACTCTCAGCCTCTTCCTGTGGCCCAGTTATACCACATGGAACCATGGAGCCCACTCCTCAACATAAGCCCAGGCAGCACAGTACCAAGGAGACAAGATCTTCTTTCCAGCCGCTGTGAGATTCCCCAGGGACCATATGCAGTGGTACTCCCAAGGGTGTTGCCTAGGAACAGGAGACAGACGGGAAGCAGACTGGCTTTCTTAATGACCACAAGCTGCAGTGCCAGCTGTGCTTGCGCACAGATGAGGGAAGAGGCCATGAGGCAAATGCCTCCCCCTTTCCCCTGCCATAGCAGGGGTGTTTCACAAGAAGACATTGAACTTGGGCATCCAGCCAATTCTGCTATCGGACAGGGTGGAGGGGCCAAGCCATGACCCTCCAAGCAGCAGGGAGAGCACAAAGTCCTACACAATCCTCAGCAGCAACTGAGTGAGCCCAGGGGAAACAGGGAGCAGCTGGGCCCAGGTCCCTCTTGCTTCAGGGCAGAGGGCGCCCAGGGAGAAGGGATGGGATCAGAGTTAAAATTAGATTCACCAATGAAGCTCATGGGAGGTCAAATTTTGCCATAACTCACTCTCTCCTCTGTAACTGATTTCACTGACACAGGGTTGAGGAGGAGGAGGAAAATCCAATGTGTTTGCCTGGAAGCCCTCAGGGCCTCCAGCGCTGGAGGTGTACAGCAGGTTGCTGGATTCTCATTTATCAGCCTTAAGAGGGATGGAGTGATAAATGCATAACCGTCCCTTTAATATTTTATGCAGGTGCTAACGCGGCTTGGCTGTCACCTTCAATGCATCACCCCAGGCTGAGAGCCCCCTCGTCACTCCTAGCTTGCAGCTTCACAATTCCATTTCCCCACCCAAACACATCCATTTAATATGCGCATCACAGGCAGGCAGGCTGGTCACAAAGGAGCCCAACCAACAGCAGTTCCCACGACAAAGCATGGATGACCGGCCACTGGCCCTGACCACCACACTGTTTTTGCCTATGTGCTGGCTGCTTGTACCTCGGAAGCCACCTTCCAGGAGAGTGGTGGCCCGTATCCGCTTCTGCCCACACCACTCATACTCCTCAAAGCGATTGCTGTTCTCATGCTCGATGTCCACGGCATCCTCCTCAGCCATGCAGGAGCCTTCCCTCTGTGAAGAGCAGAGCAGGATCATGCAAGGCCAAGGCCATTTCTATTGCTCCCCAGAGCCTATGAGGAGGGGGGCACGAGCCCCAGCCTCTGCTGCAATGTGGTAGATGGGGCCCCAGCTATAGGGGTCCTCTGTTGTAAAAGAAAGAGGTCAAAGGCCTGGGACTCTTCCCAATAATTTACCACTGGAGCCCAAGGGGGAGTGAGTGAGAGTTAAAGCAAAGAACAGAGAAGAAGCTGCTAAGACCACATGGAGACCCCAAGAACCCACAGATTTGGAGACAGTCAGCAGCTGCTGTCAGGAGAGGGGGGGGGAGGAAGATAGGTAGCAATGGCCCCTCTACCTTAGAAAGGCAATGCTCCACATGCCTACTCATCGCCTGTTCCGATCCTGCCAGGGGGCGGTTGCACAGGGGACATACCTGCCCTTCATCTTGCTTCCTCCGTTTCATTTTCCCAATCCGAGCTGCATGGGAGACCGAAAATAAAGCACAGAATAAGCAGACTGGCACCATGGCTCTGGGTCCCAGTGAGCGGAGACAGCCTGACATGCTGCCAAGTCACCAGCCCTTTTGTTCAGTGCCTGTTCTGGCCCTTGTTTTGCTCTGCCTCCTGCTCTTTGGGGACTGGGCCTTGCCATAAGCACCTGGAGAAGAGACAGGTGCTGGGCCACAGAAATGTCTATTTTCTGGCTGCAGTGGGTTCAAGCTCAACCCGTCCCTATCTGCAAAGAGGCTCCATGTTGCCAGGTATCTCCTCAAGGACCAAGACCACAGGCTCTTTTGTAACTCCAGACCTTCCCCGGTTAGAAGGCAAGGTCCTTCTTAGGGGGATTCATCAGTTAAAATTGTTTAAGGGACAAAAGCCTAAGGATCCCGAGAACCCTACCTAGAACCAGCAGGGAGGAACGTCTCTGATGTCTGCTGGTCCCATCTCACGGGCAAGGAGACTGAGGTCCTTACTGTGCCCACCCAAACCTGTTCCATCACTTCTAATCAGTGCAAAGGCATGGGCAGGCCCAAGGGAGAGGGCTGCCTGCCATGCTGTCCCGCAGGGGGCTCAGTTCCAAAGTGCACACTGCAAGCCCACAGCACTGCTAATTAATGCTGAGAGATGCAATCATTTCTAATTAGCTCACTAATCCCTCTCTGCAGCCCTCCTGTCACCGAAGCAGGAAAGGGTCAAAACAGGATACAGCAGCAGGATCAGAGATGTCCACTCTGGGACCAGTTAAATGGAGACAGAGAAGGGAGCCTACCAAAGAGGAAAGGATTTTCCACTGCAAGGTGCTGACCTTGATGGGACACTCATGAAGTTAACAGAGGAGAACACAGATGACAGGTGATATGTTACAATTTAGAGCTTGTACTCTAGGTGTGGCTCAGAGCCAGGTACCTTATACAAGGGGCCTGTTTATATACCTATATCCTGAAACTAAGGTTGCATTTCCCCATTTTAATAGGCAAATCTAAACTGTAAAACCATCAAGATACTTGTTCAAGTTGCTAACGTGGCAAGACAGGAAAGCAGGACTGACTCCATAGCCTAGAATACTTGTTTGTCCCCTAAATCTAAATGAGCAGCATGAAGACTGATCCCAAGTACTTTTCAGGGCTCCAATTTCTGCCAGTTGAGGGTGTGAAGAAGGGAGCCTCTCCAAATCCAGAAGAGTAGCCCCAGAATGACCCAAAACAAAGGGAAAATCACCAGCCCACCAGAACTGAGCAGAGTGTGGGGAACCCTGGCCTATGGCCCAGACCACCTCTGCAATGTCCCATTTCCACTAGCGAGATAGGACTGTTCTAGGGTTCCTCTAACTTTGTGCACCAAGATCTAAAAGGCTGACCTAAGCCTTGGAATCAAAGGCTGCTTTGATATTGTTAACAGCCAGGGCTGAGATGGAGGAGGGACATATGATATCAGAAAGGCACTGAGCAAGGGCCCCTGAGTTTTGGAAGCTTAGTATGGAGCACTGTGCCAACACCAAGGATCCTCACCTATGCTGCGTAGAATGAGGGAATGCCTCCCTGGGTAAGAAGGGGCTAACTTGGATGACTGAACAAAGAACTGAATCTGAGTTGCCAAACAGCATGAAAATGGATGCTCTCCCAGCCCAGATCACCTAGGCCATCAGATATGTCAACTGTAACTGCAGAAAGCCACCCCAACCAATCCAGGTTCATCTTGGGAATTGTCAGGTAAGCAAAGTAGGCTTGGTTTTCTTCCTAGCCACTCACCTTTTAAACTCTGAGCTAAACTTACTATAGAGTGGTAAAGAGTTTTTCTACCCAAGGCTGCTTGTGAGTTAGAAGGGTCAAGGCATTTGCCAAGGAAGAAGCAAGGCACAATAGGACAAGCATAGGTTTTAGGAGTAAACAATCTTCAGTTCAATCACCACTCAGCTACATCCTAACTGTGTGATTCTGAACAAAGCACTTTTGCCTGAGAGCCTCTTTCCTTATTTACAAAATGTGTAACATTTTCCTCTCAAAGATGTCATGAGAATGGTGCTTAACAAGGTGCCAACCCATGATGCTCTTTTCTAGAACAGAGCTGAATCTGGCAGTAGTGACCAATGGGAAGAGATGGGGAATCTTGAATGTCCATCGCTTCACTCACTCATCAGATGGCCCAGAGACCCTAAGCCCTTTACCGCCAACCCCTACATACAGCACACCCCAGTTGGCACAAAAAGCAAGGTTCATTCAATTGTGTTGAGCAAACAGGAATGCTCCAGAGGTTTGAATCCAAAGGGGGGGAGGGGCGCCAAGTAGTAATACATGGTCTGCTTTCAGAGAAGGCCTCTAAGAGCTGTTGAGCCCACGCTGATCACCTTTGTGAAATGTGGGCTGACTGATAACTCAAAGAGCCCTGGGACGAGTTAGTTCCTGTTGCCGTGGGAACTCCAGATCTCACTGTATTGTCAAGTCTCAGCAGAGAGGCTGCATTCACACTACTGGGCACTGATTAAAAACTGGAAGAAAAACACTCTCAGCGCCCTGCCGGCTTGTATAGTGAGGTCCCAGTAGTTTGCAAATTCAAAGCTGAGCTCTGAGTGGAATTGTGTAGCTTGTTCCTCATTCTCTGGCATTTATCGTCCCTCCGGGTTCTCCAGAGGTTTTAGAGAGGACTGGGCATTAAGTGGGAACCATAACCTCCATTAGACAGATGGGGAAACTGAGGGCGGCAGCCTTGGTTTGCACATACTCAGGTGCTGTGACTGTGAAGAAACCAGGGGGCCCCAAAGAAGAAGAGACCCAGGGAAGCCAGGAGCTGCGGGCAGCGCGGGAGGGAGGAGGCCGGAGGTGGGGCAGAGGGAGGGGCCGGGCAGAACTCACCATTCAGTCGGGTCTGCCGGTTGGCTCGCACTCGCAGGAAGGTCTGGAAGGAGATCCCGGGCAGATACAAAAAAAGAAATGAATGTCAGGCACGGCCTGGAGTCTCCACTCCAGCCCCAGCTCTCGACCCCCTTCCAGGCCTGCCCCGCCCCAAACAGCCCGTAAACAAACCTACTTCCTCCCTCCCGCCGGCCTCCCTGCTCCGCCGCTCGCTCCGGGCCCTCGGCATAGCCGCCGGGGCTGCTCTAACGGGACCCCGTGGCCGCCGCGCGGTGCCGCCCCAGCCCAGCCTCTGGTGCTCCGGGCCCCGTGGCGGCCCGGCCAGCGAGGACGACGATGCGAGCGGATTCCTCCCGGCTGCCCGGCGGCGGCGGCACCTCAGCTCCCAGCAGCGGCGGCGGCCATGTTGGGCCTGATCACATGACCTACCGCCGGCGCGCGCTGGAGGTGAAAGTTCACGGGCGGGGGGGAGCGCTGGACGGGACAGGGAAGCGACCGTTCGCACTCCGAGAGCAACCTTTTGGAGCTACCCCCAGGGTCCCTCCCACCGCCCCTAAATCCTGACAGCCCCGATTTGGCTTGTGGGATGCTCTTCACTCCGCCCCCTCCCGCTTTGCACTGCTGGGCTTCTTTCTTCCGCTCCGAGCCCGGCCGCGGGCCCCGCCTCCCACGCGGACGCTCTAGGGCTGGGGCTCCGAGGTGCTCTTTAGTTGGAAAGTGGCCCCGGGATCCTGTCGTCCACGGGCCGTCCTGCTTTGAGCCCCCAGCACATCGCCGTCCTGTTAGAAGTGTGCGCTGGACGTTGTCTTGATCTCCTCCAGGCATTGCACATCTTTAAGGGCAACACTGAGCTCACCCCCCCTTCCTCCTGGGTCCTGAGTTCCTAAGGGGATGCCTACATGTAACTTGAGAGTCGCTCTTGACCCCACTTGCTCCCTCACAATCAACCCTTTAGCTCCTGGGAGTCTACCTTTAAAGATCTCTTAAAGTATCCCACCTTCACCCTCTTGTGCATCTCCTACTCATCCTCCTTCCAGGCCTGACTAAAGCATTGCTTTCCCTCCCACAGGAGTATTTTCGTGTCTACACAGCTTGTATAAATTTTTAACAGTGGACTGACCACACAAGGGGTGGGGCCATGTGAACCCAGAGCCCACTGTGTCACTTGGCATAGGCAAGACGCCTGTGGGTGTTGCTTCAATGACTTTCCTTATTGGACACTGCTCTGGTGCATAATCTTACTAGCTCTCAATGTGCAGCTGCCTCCCAGCTCATCTTTTGGTCTCCAGTTTCTCTCCCTGAGACCCATCCTTTACATTTCACTTAGGGTCCGTTTGTTCGTTCTGTTTTCATTTTCTGGTACCAGGGATTGAACTCAGGACCTTGTGTTTTCCAGGCAGGCAGGTAAGCCACTGAGCTACTTCCCTAGCCCCGAGGTATTTCTTTTGTGCAAAATTAACCTGATATCCTTCAATGGTTTTCCACTAGAAGACCTGCAAGATAACCATATAGGCCTGCCCTGCCTTGCCCTGCCCTGCCCTGCCTGCTTTTCTAGACTCAGGACACCAGCTCCCTCCCTTCACGTGGTCCTCTTGACACTCAACTTTGCTGAGCAACTTGCAGCTCTTTGAGCCTTCCTTGCTCAGTACTCCAGAGTCCCTTGCAGGGTTAACTTTAGTTCACGTTCAGAATTCTGGCAAGGCTTCATTTTTTTCCCCTCCAAGGCTGGATTTGTTACCACCTGCCCGTTTTCATGGTTCTTGGTGTCCCTCTGATCATTTTCATTGTTTACATATCCGTCCCTTCTACACAAGAGGTCATCTCTATTCAGTCACCCAACATAGGGAGAGATCAATAGGGGAGGACATTACAAGGGACTCCCTGAGCCCAGTGCATGGCTGGGAAAGTGCTATAGTTTAGATCTTGAATGTTCCCCCCAAAGCCCTTGTGTTAACATCTTGGTCCCCGGCGTGGTGCTATTGGGAAATGGTAGAATCTTTAGAAGGTGGGTCACTGTAGGCAATCTTCAGGTCATGGGAAGGGGGCTTGCCCTCAAAGAGGCTATGGGATTCCAGTCTCTCCCTCTTTCCTTTTTGCTTTCTGGGCATAAAGTGAGTGATTTTGTCTTACTATGTGCTCCATGATGAACTGCTGTATGTGGCTAACCAATCATAGACTGCTGTCTTTAAAACTGAGTCAAGATAAATCTCTTCTCTTTTATAAATTGGTTGTCTCAGATATTTGTTATACTAAAGAAAAGATAATGCAATGTATTAATTATTGTAACTGTCCTACTCACCTGTTTTGAAACTGTCTCGTTATTTGTTTCTCAGTAAAATTAATTTAAAAAAATAAAGGAAAGATGAAGGGGCTGGGAGATGGCTCAGTAGAATAAACGCTTGCCTGGCAAGCGCACAGGCATGAGTTCAATCCCCGGTTCTGCCACAAAAAAAAAAATAACACACAGAAACAATCTAAGATTCAGAGCCTGAAAGATTCAAGTTTAAATTTTGACTCTCGTTTTCTTAATTTATATATATTTTTTATTCATTTAGTCTTTTTAGAGTTCTTTTGGTACTAGAAATTGAACTGAGGACCTTGTGCTTACCAGGTAGGCATTGTACTGCTGAGCTATATCCCCAGCCCTGTATTTAGTCTTTTTGAGACAAGGTTTCACTATGCAGTTTAGGCTGGCCTTGAACTTACTTTATAGCCCAAGCTGGTCTTGAGCTCACTGCAATTTTCCTGCCTCAGCCTCCCAAGTGCTGGGATTCCAGGTGTGTGCCACCACCACAGCCAGATTGGAGTAACTTTTTTAAAAACATAAATTATAGCTGGGCATGGTGACAGAAACCTGGAATCCCAGCACTTGGGGGCTGAGGCAGGAGGATTGCAATATTGAGGCCATCCCAGGTTACATAGCTAGGCCCAGTGTCTCATGCCTCCTCTCGGTGCTTATCCCCTTAGTAATAAACAAGGGCCAGTAAGTCCTAGCTTGTGTAGTTGGCATGAGGATAAAGGTAAAGGTAGGCACTGAGCAGAGGCTAAGTACAGTAAATGGAAATCCAAACCAGAAACCAGTATCCTCTGCTTTTAATGCCTACATTAACCATTACATCCAACACAACCACACAACTGCTACTTGCCAGGCTTTGTGTAAAGAGCTGGATACCTATTTAGTTCCTGGGTTGCTTTCCAGCATCACCTCCCACCAACTCGCTTTTCTTACAGTGCATGCAGGGAGTGGGTGGCATTAATTCAGTGAGCAGCCTCCTTTCCAACAAAACTAGGCTGCTCACAAGTCTCTAAATATACCATCCTGTATTATACCTGTGTCTTTTACACATATTATTGCCTTTATATAAAATGACCTTTCTTCCTTGTCATTCAAGTGAACCCCTATCCTCCTCTGAAATACTGTTTAGTCATTACTTCTTATGTGAAGCTTGCTCTGATTCCTTTTCTGTCCCATTTTATGAAATATATTTATGCACTTGTCATAGCACGTAGAATGCTGTGCTGTAAGTATCTATTTGCCAACCTAGCCCCTTGAAGGCAAGGACACTGGGCTGAGCGTGAGTGGTACTAGATAAACGTTTGAGTAAGGGAAGGATAGCACAAGGTCTTTGCCTTGGAGGAACTCCAAGTCCAGTGAAGAGTCAGATTCATTGTGATAGATTAAATGTGGCCACAATTCCTTGCTTCTTTCAAGAGCTGCATTTCTTCACCCCTTGATTAAGGGCTACTTTTGTGACATTCTTTGCCCAATAAAAGGTGGTAGAAGTAATGTTACATGAGTTATAGCTTTTAATGTCAAGAAGCCGTGCAGCTTTGGTGGGACACTTCTGAGTGACTGCCAAGTAAAGAAGTTGAGAGGCCACATGGAAAAGAACCAGGGCCAGCCTCCCAGACATGTGGAGAGGACATTGGGACTTCTCAGCCCAGCTATGTCTTAGAAAAATAAGCTGCATTAAGTGAAGAAATGCCCAGTCAACCCACAGAATCCTAAGAAATGGTAGCTTGTGTTAAGCTCACAAGTTTTGGGATATATAGCAGAAATATACCTAAACAAGTGATTAAAAACAAACAACAACAACAACAACAACAAAAAATCCCAAGTGATATGATGTAGGGTGATGGGGCAATAACAGGGACACACAAGGATCATGAGAAGAGAGCTAATCCATGAAGGCTTCTTAAAGGAGATGGCGTTGGGGGTGTTGAAAGGCAAATAGAGATTTGGTGCAGCGGGGTGAAATAATACTGTTTGAAGCAGCAACTCATGTAAAGATGAAGCAGAAGAGGAAGGGCATGTTTAGGGAGTGGATAGTATTAATTCAGTGAGCTTAGATCATGGAACTCAAGGAAGGTAGAATCAGGAATTGAAGCTGGAAATACAGGTTACAGCTAACCCACCGAAGGCCTTGGTACCATGCAAAGGAACTTGAACTTTATATTACAGGAAATCAATCTGATTTGTCCTTTAAGGAGTATTATTAGGGCCTAGAACAGGGTTTGAGTTTTAACATGGCTCTGAAGTTCTCTGGAGGGCACCTAGACCTCTAGAGGCTTCCTCATCTCAAAGTTGGCTGTTTCTAAAATGCTGCATGTGAGTTGTGTGTGTGTGTGCACGCGCATGCTCATGTGCATGTGGTCATATGTGTATACTTTTAGGGAAGTCTCTGGTGTAAGCTGTTGCTTTCCTCATATTGTAGAGAGTAAAAGAAACAAATATTTTGGGAGTAAGTATGGTAGGTCTAGGAGAACAGGCAATTTGTTGTGTTGGTTTTCCTAGTTGAACACACAGCTAGGCTGATGCTATGAATGAAGTAGGAGGCGGGGCCTCTGTAGGAGGGAGCAGAACTCTCTAGGACAGAGCTTTGTCTCCCTGAGACCAGATTCATTAGACTTAGGTCATTTCTCTACCTGGAGTCAGGGTTGTCTGGATCAGGGAGATGTCTCCCACTAACTGGACTGTCACTCTCAAAACCAAGTCTACTATAGCAGGAATCCCTTTCCAGGATTGGCACTTTGGGCCATGCAGTTTGAGTCTCACACAGGCATCCATCAAAGGAGATGCCAGTGGAGGCTGGTGTCCAGCCCACCGTTGGCATTCTCCTTTCTGAGCTCTGCACCCTGTGACAGGCTGTGACAGCTGTGAGAAAAGGGTACCTGAGCAGACACCTTTCTCTAGTTCCAAGCAAGGCCTTGTATGTGCCAGCAGAGACCCTGGCTTTCTACCCCAGCTTATTGATCCCTGCTGTTCTGCCTTTTCATATCAGACCAGGGCTGTTTCCTTTTCCACATCGGGCTCCCTGGGAAGGCCTGTTGCCATTTAGACAAATGTTCCTTGGAGCAGGGCCTTGTTTTCTTAACATCTGATGGGGATCTCAAAGGCCAGACTCTACCTCTCCTCAGATAAAAGCTTCTGGGGAGGGCCAGCCAGATAGTTCAGCAGATTAAAGTGCTTGCTTAGGCAGACACAGGGACCGGGTTTGCTCCTCAGTGCTGTGCCAGCCCCACCCCCAGGGCATGCAGAGAAGTTGATTCAGACTGGGTGTGGTGACGTGCACCTGTAATCCCAGCACTTGGGAGGCTGAAAACAGGAGGATCACTACAAGTCCAGTCTGTGCAATGAGACCCTGTATATCCTGTACTAAATACATAAAAAAAAAAAAAAAAAGCTTCTAGGGAGAGGAAGCTTGCTTTCTCCTTCCAACCACAAAGAGAGTTCATCCATAGCTCATTGTAACCCTTAGGCTCCCTTGGTGCTCTGCTGTTTTAGTATTGTATGATTACTCTCTTTCTCTTTGCCCAAGACACCCACAGGCGATGTCTGCCTCTTTATCTGGGCTGGACACCAAGGTTTGGCAGGATTGAAGGGTTACTTGCTCAAGGAATTCTGCTTTTAAAGTCTGATATCTTCAGACTTTAAACATAACCCTGGGCTATGTCTTTAGGTCTTCATAAAATAAAACAAAACAAAAACCCACAGGAGGATGGTTGCATGTTTCTGAGGTGCTTAGGGCTCAGCAAAGCCCAAGGAACTTTAGCATCTCTCATAAAATCCATTTATTGAAGGCCCTTTCCATACACCTAGGCCTTCTGAGACATAGGCCCTACAAAGACATAGAGGAAACCTAAGGCACTCTTTCCCAGGGCCCATAAGGGAGGGCAGAGTTGGCATACCTGAATACCACTGAAGTCCCACCCCACTGGATGCACTTCTCCTGGTTGCCTGCCTCTCCTCACCTGGTATCTGTCTGAGTGGTGCAGGTCATCGGTGGCAGATGAGTGTGGTGACGCTGTAGGAGACTCTCCTTCCCTCTTGATGGAAGCAGACAATAGGAGGGACTGGAAGAGGAAAGAAGACATGAGGCCTCAGACTCAGTGACATCTATGGTTAGTTCCCTGGAGTTCTCAGTCCTGTGGAGTTTGGGGAATGAGGCAGAGGAACAGAGGGGCAATTGAAGTCCTGAACGCAAGTGATGGAGGCAAGGCATGGGGGAGAGAATGGCTGATTTTAGGACTCACTAGATAACCTCTAGGAGTCAAAGCTTCCTCCACACTTGCTTTGCTTGAACTCAGCCCCTGTGGAGCACAACTCCCAGCCACTTCCAGTGGGCTCAACTATGCATGCTTCATTCTCCTAGAGAACAGACACTCTAGGACCCCTGTGAAGGGTCGGGGGAAAGCCACATACCTGCCACCCCAACCTGCCCTAATACAGGCTGATGGCAGCCCTGCAATGTAGACAGTAAATTAAATAGTATGTATGAGTTTCCTGTGTGGAGCTAGGGATGTACGCTAGGTCCATTTATCCCCATGCTGTGGCGATGACCCCAGCAAAAACCCCAACAAAACTAATCCTCCCATGTCAATCCTGCACGGCCTCTTCTACATACGCCTGCGGTTTAGATTAATAAACTGTCTGCTTTAAATTGTGTGTGAGCACCACAATTCTAAATACCATGTGGCACATTCAGTCTGAGAGCCAGCTCTTGCCAAGGCCTGTTCAGCTGCAAACTGGGGGCCTGGAGACCTGAAAACAATCCATACTTCCTCCCCCAACCTTCTCCAGCCTGCGCACAATTCCCTAGGAGTCCTCCCCAGCCTAGAAAACCATGCCAAATCGCCAGTGACAGCCCAAAGAAAGCAATTTGGGAAAGATGGAGCAGCCATTTATCCTTCATCTCCAACTGAGCCTTAGGATGTGACCCGCATGCAGTGGGCAGGCTGTACATCCTCAGCGAGGGCCAGGGAAGGACGGGGCAGATGCCAGCCTGGCTGCCGAGCTCCCTGCCTTGCCCACAACCTAGCCCATGAGCTGCAGGGGCCAGGAGGCTGCAAAGGGCCTGCAATGGGATTTTTCTGTAACTGGAAGCTCCCACTATAGCCCAGGAGAAGACCTGGTGGGTGACTCAGCCTGGGACCAGAAAGGAGGTGTTCTCAGGCAGTGTCCTGCTCTGGGCTGGACAGAGCCTAAAGAAGATGAGGAGGGGAGCAGTGCGGGGCTCCCCAGCCATGAGAAAGCTCATGCTTGTATGTTCATGCTTTCTTTTTGATCCTTCCCTCCCATGTCTTCTTCTCTCTCTCTCCTCTCTCTCTCTCTCTCTCTCTCTCTCTCTCTCTCATTCTCTCTAGGTTAGAAGCCCTGAGAGGCCTCAGCATTACACCTGGGGCAAGCAGAATAAAAAAAGGTCACTGGCGCTTTTTAAACATGGACCAAAAAGCAGTAAAATGTGTTTTGAAAAAAAAATCCCGGCATTAAATCATGACTTTTTGCCTGGCTCTTCGCCTCATTAAAAGTGGCCTTTTGGAAGGTAAAATTATCATTGTAAGCGATAAGATCTTTAAGAAAATAATTCACGGCTTCTTCACCCTTTAATATGATAGCCGCCACCGGCTAATTTTTTTCTTAATGGCAACGAGGCCATCAATCTTGTCTAAGGCCCCCTTGCCCTCTCCTCCTCCCTCCCTCCCTTTCCCTGTCCTCTCTCTCTGTTGCTTCAATCTTCGAGCTCCTGTTTTTCTCCCTATGACCTGCTTCCCTCAAGCCTAGGTCAAGGCCAAGGATATGCCAGGAACTGTTCAGCTCGGAGTATGAGCATATATCTGAATTGTGTAGCCACTGGTGATCACTGGGCCTGTGTGTGTGGCTGTGGGAATGTGCTCAAGCTTAAGACTTCCTGAGTGTGTCCCTGGATCTGGATCCAGCTGTTGATGTGGGGCTACGTATGTGGGAGCTGGGTGTGGAGGAACATTGCATCCTCTTAGAACACAGGCTCTTGTGGTGTCCAGTTCCTCAGCAATGCTTAGGTGTCACATCACTAGCCCGGAAGCTTGGTCATGACCTTTCTGCACCTCACCCTGAAATGCTGCAGGCTGGGCCAAGCTCAGCAGTGTGACTCCCTACCTCTAAATCATTTTTATTTTTTTGTACTTTTAGGGAAGGTTCTATAGGGTGTTCGTGGTCTCACTACTAGATCAAACTCATAGTGATCTGCCTGTTTACAGCCTCCCAGGAGCTGAGATTACAGGCGCGCATCACCATGCCCAGTCTTCCTACCTCTGAATCTGAGCTGCCTGGCTTCTCCACCTTTTCTCTTTAAGAGTGGGAAACCTTTGTCTCCTTAACCAGAACTGCTGCATCCAACGCTGGACCAAGTTTTCCTTCCTCCTCTCCCAGTTGGGTGCAGCTGAACAACTTCTTGAAGGAAAATGCAAAGTCCACTTCCACCTTTGCCTTCTCCTCAGTATTGGGATTGAACCAAGGTTCTTTGCACCGAGCTCTATCACCAGCTTTTATCTATCTATCTATCTATCTATCTATCTATCTATCTATCTATCTATTTATTTTTTTTTGCGAAGCCAGGGATTGAACTCAGGTGCTTGCTCTTGCCAGGCAAGTGCTTATTCAACTGAGCTATCTCCGTAGCTCCACCAGCTTTTATTTATTATTTATTTAATTTATTTTTGAGACAAGGTTTTACTAAGTCACCAAGTTGTTCAGGATGGGCTTGAACTTGTGATTCTGTTGCCTCATCCTCACAGAGTGCTGGGGTTAAGGTATATGTATGGCATCATGCATCATGCCTGGCTAGTCTGCCCTGTTTTTTTTTTTTTTTTTAATGTATTTGTTACAGGGTCTCACTATGCAGCTTAGACTCATAGTGATCTTCCAGAGCCTCCCCAGCTCTGGGATTATAGGTGTTCACCACCACACCCTATCCTGGTGGCTGGATTGGTATATCCGGGTGGGGCCAGCACAGCATGTGGTACCAGGGATCAAACCTGGGTCCTTGTGCTTACCTAGGCAGATATTTAGACTGCTGAGCTATCTCCGCAGCCCCTGCCCCTGTTAAAGAACGTATAATAGTTGGGTCAACCCTGTAGAAATGATATCTGTCACCATAGCTCCTTTTCCTAAGCCATCCTTTCAGAAGTCACCAGCAATTTTCAGCCTTCCAAGTATAGTGGGTCCCTTCACCAGCCTTTATCTGTTGAATTGCTGACCACTCCATATGTTTCAAAACCTTTCCTTAACTTCTGGAATACCATGCTCTTCTGTAACCATTCTAATTCATGGACTATCCTTTTTCTGTCCTTCATGGCCTCCAGGACCTTATCTTGACTATAAATGCAAGAGTCCCTGAGATTCTTATTTTATTTTATTTATTTTTTTTTAAATTTATTTATTTATTTATTTATTTATTTAGTGTGTGGCCAGCTCAGCCCACCAGGGGGCGGGGCTGGCTGGCATGTGTTGCTGGGGGATTGAACCGCGGTCCCTGTGCTTTGCTTGGCTTAGTTTGTTCTAAGTAGGTGCTTTAGACCACTGAGCCATCTCACCAGCCCCAGGGATTTGTTCTTTTTTTTTTTTTTTTGTGGTACCAGGGATTGAACTCAGGACCCTGCGCTTGCCAGGCAAGCACTTATTCAACTGAGCTATCTCCCTGGCCCTGAGATTCTTATTTTAGTGTTTGCTCTCATCTTCCGCTGTACTGGTCCTCACTGACTTTATTTCCTAAGCTTCAATACCTTCTCTTGGCTCCCCATAACATATACTGAGGAGTTGCTGTGAGAGCTTATTAGAGGGTCACTTTGTGCTGGGGGGTGGGCAGGGGATACTCGGGAAGTAAAGGTCTAGTCTTCCTCTGCAGGTTTCTTTGTCCTCAAAATCATCACCTTTGAGGAAGCAGCACCATCAACCTCTGTGGCAAGTAGGTGAGTTCTTGGTATAAATTATGTCATTGTGCTAGGGTCTCTGTGACCCCACCTTTGTGCCAGATACTTGTTCTTTATCTTTCCTTTCTTCACCTGATGCTTTCAAGTTTTTCTACAATAGTGTTTGTTCAAGGGATAAATTGACTCCCTACCCTGATGGACCCAGCATCTTCTCTGGTTCCTTATTGTCCATACATATACACACACAAAACAAACAAACAAACAAACAACAAAAGACTCCTGTCTTCTGAGGCCCTGAACTGTCTGGCTTGACTGAATTTCTGTTTACTTTTTCACATTTTATACTTCACCTTCCTCCCAAGTTCCCCAGCCTTAGGGTCTGGGTTGTCCCCATTCCCAGGCTGCTCTTCACCTTCGCCCTCATTCTAACTTGAAGAGGAGGAAGTCAGATGAGCATATGGCCACATTCACACACAGACCACACACATGGACACATGCACAGGTATACAGACACAAACACATGGAGCAGCCGTAGGCCTCGGGCTGATGTGTAAGCCCTGGAGACAGCTGGTAATCCAGGAAGTATTCCCTTTTTTCAGGAGAATCCAAGTCTAGCTTAGGATGGGCAGGAGAAAAAATATAATTGGCCACCTACCTTGGGGGTGCCTGGAGTCATGGCATCCTTCAGAAGGGAATTCTTGCTGCCAAGAAAGAAGAGAACAGGATGATCATTCTACCTGCTGCTCGGGGCATGCAAGGGTAGAGTAGCAAGAAGACCACAAGGAGAAGGCATAGCCAGCTTAGCCCAGCCCAGCCCAGCCCAGACAGTTCATAGAGGTCCACCCCATCCATTTGGTCCAGTAGCCAACCCTAACTCAGCCTCTGTCAGGGGCCAAGAGCCAAGCTCTCCACTGGGAGGGGAATGTAGATGCCAAGTATGAATCTGGGGAGGTAGACTTTACCTCACTCTTAGGATCAGTCCTGGTGATTCTGCCTGTCCTTGAGGCTCCCTGCTCTCACCCTCCAGGCTGTCTCCAGCCTACTCTTAGCTCCTGTGGGATTGGGGTGATGGAGCTGACATGGCTCATGTCAATTCTCCCTCCAACATGCTGCAAACTGTGTTAGGCCAGGAATGATCTCCCCCTGATTCAATTTGTCAGTCCCAGGCCCTCCAGCATTGGGCTCGGCAGGCGGGCGGGAGCTGGGCCCTGAAATATGGTGGGCAGCTCAGAGCAGGCGGGGGGCCGGGGTGGGAGGTGATGGATGGGCTGTGGGGGAGGCAAGGACTGTGTTTAATAACAAAATTGGTATGCAAGGCCACATCCCATGCTAAGCATGAGTGATCCAGAGCCACAAAGTATTACAAATCCCTGCTAAACAGATGCTGACAATGGAACAAGACGTATCAAATCAGATCCACTTCAGAAACATTAATATCCCTGTTCCTGTCCCTCCCTGCCTGCTGCCTTCACTATGCTTGCTGCACCTGTGCTCACACATTTGCACATGTGTGTGCATGCTCATGCATGCACACGTAAACACACAGATACATGCATACAGAGGTGCTGGATATGTGTGGAGGAAGATACATTTTCCCACACAGGCACACAAATAAAGTATATGTGTGGAGCGTGCCCACAGAATGTATAAAAGATGCAGATGTGCACACACCCAAGGCAGAATATATGGAGCATATCCAGGCTTACAAGGTGTATTCACCGCAAACACTTGCAGATGTCCTGAAGCACCTATAGGTGCCAGACATAGGTACACTCAACATGTAAGAAGCATATGAAGATTTGTCCTCATGTTGGCAGTGTGTGTGTGTTTACTTTCCCAGGGAAACTGGCAATATCTATATATCTATTTTTTTGTGGTGCTGGGCTCAAACCCAGAACCTCAGATGTGCTAGGCAAACACTTCACCACTGGGCTATATACCCCTTCCCCTACAGATATTTTCAGTTGTTGGAACTTTGGCAGGAGAGAGGGCTTGCTACCGGCATGAGTCTTAGATGGCCCCTTTCGCACAACACAGAATCATCTGACCTAAAAACATCAGTGGTGCAGAGGCTGGGAAGCCCTGGTGTAAAGGCAGATACATATCCACAGGCTATAATTTTGCCAACAGGCACACATACATGCAGTCACAGACATGCAGACAGATGCACAGGGCCACAGGGTCATGTTCCCAGAGACATGGCCATAAAGACAAATTCATAATAGCCACACAGATGGGATGAAGAGCCACACATGCACACAAGCCCACATAAACATACATAGATACAGGCACCAACATACACCCAGATACACACAGTATAGATGGAGTCACCTTGGTACACATCACATGAACACACATGCCTTACAGTGCAGAGGTTACTAGGCCCAGCAGCAGGGCGAGGTCAGGTCTGAGGGTAAAAACAGAGCTGTCTCCCAGTGTGATCACATGACAGGAACATCACAGACTAGGAAGGACAGCCAGAACAGGTTCTGCTTGATGACATTTTGTTCATAAACGGTCCCTGCTCTGCCCTCATGGATGCATTGAGGATACAGGAGAAACTGAACTGCTCTGGAGGAGCCACTGGTTGGTGAGTTCATGACTGCTGTTATTCTGTCACCATTCCACCTACAAAATGAGGCACCTATTCTCAGCTGCTCCTGTGCAGAGCCCGCTCCTTATGGTGCTCAGTAAGGTGGGATCCAGAAAAAAAAATGAGACTGCTATTGTATATACTGTTCTCACCAGGCCCTTCTCCAAAGTGAGATGTATTATCTAATTAGATCAGGTGAAAATAGAAAAAAAAAGATTATTGTTGTATCCACTATATATGACAGACACAGGGTTTGTGTGTGTTATCTCACTGAATCATTGCAAAAATTATACAAAATTGACTAACAGGTTAAGAATAGATTGTATTCCCACAGTCTGTGGAGGGTCTGGGATATGAGTTTGGATCTAAACAAAGCCCAATATATATGGTCTCAGTGTATTGCCTGGGCTGATCTTGAAATCCCAGACTCGAATGATCCTCCTGCATCAGCTTTCCAACTAGTTGGGACTATGGGTGTACCACACCACACACACCTAGCTCATAGTGCTAGGTAATTGTGGTGCTCAGTAAGGTGGGATCCAGAAAAACAAAACGAGGCTGCTATTGTATATATTGTTCTCACCAGGCCCTGCTCCAAAGTGAGATAATTGCTTATGCATCCTCCCTAGAGATGCTCAGGGCTTAGGCTTCAGGACAGAACTTGTTCTCTTTCTTCCCTTTCTTCTCTGTGACTTTGGAGAGGGTTTTACTGACCCTGGCTTTACTCTGTGGTGCTGCTGAATAGAATGAGGCCCTTCAGGGTCAGATCCAGCCTCTCACCTGGCAAAGCCCATCATCTAGATCTTTCGCTTTCTTTTTTTTGGTACTGAGAATCGAACTCAAGACCTTGCCCTTGCGAGGCAGATGCTTATACCACTGAGCTATATTCCTGGCCCACTCTTCCTAGCAATGTTCTTTTTCCCCTTGTGCGAAAAGAGTACAGTGGCTGACTCACTCCCTTACCCTGAGCCAGGGTTCCTCCCTGCACTTCCTTCACCAACCTCACAGCTCTAAGTTGCTTTGGTCTTCCAGAGTCTGGAGAGCCTGGTGAGAAGCTGTCTTGGAACAGGGAGGTCTGAGCCATCCTGTCCGCAGCCTGGCTCCACCCAGCCCATCAGCTTTGCCTTCTGTCCCTCCCTGTTTCCACAGCCCGCCCTCAACGATTCCCTCCCTTGCTCAGTCACTCGCTGCCTAGTGATCCATGGGTTTTAAATTATAACTGGGACCCAGGAAATGCGTTCCTAAGTACAATATTCATGGGCTGGGCTGACACTTTTAATTAAGGTGATTTACACTGAATTATCCTTGGAAATAAAGAAATGGTGCACTGCCGGGGAATAAACCATCATTACCAGCCGCCTTTGTAAGTTACACTTCGTTTTAATCTATTTGGGGAATTGTTTATCTAGTTCATTACCCAACCAAACACCGAGGCCGGCCTTAAATAAGGCTTAAGTGGGGGTGGGGGCACTGACATCTCCACACCCCGCCTCTCTAGAATCACCCAGCCTCCCCTTGGTTTCTTTCAGCCCCTTTAAAGCACTGTCCAGAGAGCAGGCTTCCCAGTGCAGAAGCTGGCTCTCTTAGGGCTCTGGAAGCCTCTTGGAGGAGCCCTCAGCCAGGCCTGGGCAAACTAGGCCCACTTTCAGCTCTGTACAAATTCTGTGTTCAAGGCTCTGTCTTCTTTCTGGATGGAAATTCCAGCCTAAGGGCCATAGAGAGGGGTGGGGCCATCACCTGCCACTTGCCTTTCCATCTTTGGCCCCTATCTGTGTCCCTATTTGTCTCTCTTTGTACTCATCCAGTCCCTACCCCTTTACCATCCTAGAAGTGTCTTGGGCTCAGCTTGCCCAGAGCCTTGCCCACTGTCCCTTCTTGCCTTCTGCACTTACCTCTCTGCCACCTCCACTCTCCCCATCATCCAAGTCAGACAATGCCTTTTTAGGAAGTATTCCAGCTAAGTCCCCTGCCCCCCCCCCCATCATTCTTGCTTCAGCATCTTTATTGTCCTTGCCATTCCTGCACTGTGTCTGCTCTTAGTTTGCTCTCTACCTGGCCTCTAAGCCCTTCTTCTCTAGCTCATCTTGCCCTGGTGGTGCTTCATCCTGACTCGATACTGTTCTTACCCCTCTGCGTCTAGGATCCCCTCCAGCAGGCAAGGCCTCCCAGGGACTGTCTTTTGCTCTTTCTGTTCTTGTTGGCCAGGTCTTGGCATCTCAGGGAGCCCTGGTGGGCAGCACTGAGAAGGAGAAAGACAGGGTGGGATTTGTGGGCATTGTCTTTGATCTCAAATGTGAAAGCTTTGAAAGCCAAGAGTGCCTTGTCAGGCACAGCTCCTGGTCTCTTCCTGTGGAGGCCTTGGTGGCCATGTACCTGTGGGAACACATGTGGTAGGAAGGCAGCTTTCAGGGTACGTGTGTGTAAGTGCATCCTTGGGGGGGAGGGAGGCAGTGCACACCTGTGTCTGTGGAAACCAAGCTCCCTAGCTTGGGGCTGGAAGGCCCCTCCTTCTCTGTGGGCCCTTCGATGTGTTCCAGATAGCAGCTTGTTCCCAGGCACCACTCGGTGCTGCTGGGTGAAAGAGGTAGAAGGCAAAACGGGTCCACCCAGAAAGCTCCTCAAGCAGAACCGCAGGAGGGAAGCACCAGGCTGACAGAGGGCAGCATCCCAGGCTCAGGAGTATCTGGTTTAGGATGGAGACAGAGCCCAGAAAGGTGATAAGAAAGGAGGGGAGATGCTAGCAGGGTCAACCAGGGAGAGGAGCAGGGAGAGCAGGAGCCTAGCAGGCAGCTAGGGAGGGGAGGATTGGAGCACTAGGGAGAAGGCCACGGACCAAGGACGGGGATGCCCACGTTTTGTTTCTGCCCTTCTGTGCGACTTAGTTTCCCCATCTGTGAAATGGCCAGTCCAAAGTCCCATTCTGTTCAGGGTCCTGATGGCAGGAGAAAACGGGCATATCTAAGCAGTCCTGGGCTCCTCTTTTTTCAGCCTCCTCTGCAGACCTCCTGCTGTCCCGAAGCCAGCGGGGGAGGGGAGTGGTAAAGCAGGGTTGGGGTGGGTGGTGGTGGGGGTTGGAGGGGTGGAGGGACTGCGAGGACAGCGAGGCTGTCTCCCCCACCCCCAGCCCGGGGGAGCAGAGCTCCTCGGGAATTTATCACGCACCCAATTACAATGTTAATTGGCAAGTTCCTGAAATCAATTAATTCGCAAATTTTTTCCAATTAAAAATCCAGATAAATCACAGGGCAGCGTCCGGCCTGCAGTGGGTGGGCGCGGCTGCCCTTGAACGCCTTTGCCGGCCAGGCGCTGTCAGCCGGGGCGCGGGGGCCCAGACAGATAAAACCATCGACCCGTCGCCGCCAGCTTTGGCTGTATCGATCTGACGGGATTTCACTTGCTGTGCAGATCCCGCCGTCCGGCTGTCAGACACTCGGGGTGGGGGCGTGCCGGGTGCAGGGCGTGTGCGTGTGGGGCGCGAGGGCGTAGGGGGTGCGGGGACTACAGGACAGACGCAGGGTACAAGACAGCTGGGAGGGCAGGGAGAGGGCGGGGCACTGGGCGGTCTCAGTGCGGAAGAGCGAGCTCCAAGATAGAAGAGAAGGGACTGTGCGCGGGTAGTGGGTGGGGCTGGAGCAACGAGGGTGTCCCAGGCAGGACAAGTGTGGGTCCCCACCAGTGAGGCAGAGCGATCCGGCCCTCAGGGACCTCAGGGCACTTGGCCAGTACAAAACTCTGCAGGTCTCCACCTCTGCCTGTTTTCTGTTCCGCTTGAGAAGTCCTTTGTTGGGAGCAAGTTACACAGAACTCCTGGATAGGCAAGGTGTGGCACGCGACAGCAGAGGTTTCTTTCATTCTCTGCTCTTGGCAAGTCAGGGCCCGGTGCGTAGATGGAGGGATTAAGAGGACTGGCTCTGGAGTTGAACCGCTTGAGTTTGAATCTTGATTGTTAACACTTACACGAGGACGCATTGTTACAGTGTTACTTAACTCTTCTGTGGCCATTTCTTCATCTGTGAAAGGGGGTTAATCATTACAGTCATGTACCACACAATAAAGATTTTGGCAACAGTGGACAATGTATAGGGCAACGGTCCCATATGATTATATTGCCTAACGACAGTGTAGCCACTTTACGGTTTTTTATTTTGAGATAATGTCTCATTGTGTAGTCTAGGCTGGATTTTTTTTTTTTTTTTTTTTTTTTTTTTGTGATACTGGGGATTGAACTCAGGACCCTGCAATTGCCAGGCAAGTGTTTATCCTACTGAGCTATCTCCCCGGCCCTAGGCTGGATTTGAATTCATTATGTAGTCCAGGCTGAACACAAACTCCAGATCCTCCTGCCTAGGCTCTTGAGTGCTAGGATTACAAGTGTGTATCACCATGCTTAGTCATCATCCTAGTTTGTGTAAGCACACTGCATAATGTTCATTTGACAAAATCATCCAAGGATGAATTTTTCAGCATGTATCTCCATCACCAATTAACATGTAACTGCACCACCTACCTTAGAGGGATGTAATGAATTTTTAAAAATCTTTTGTTTGGTACAGGGTATCACTGTGCAGCTCAGACTCATAGTGATCCTTCTGTCTCAGCCTCCCCAGTGCTGAGATTACAGGTGTGTGCCACCATGCCTGGTTTTGGTGGCTGGCTCAGTGCAGGGTTGGTACAGCATGTGGTACCAGGGATCAAACCCAGGTTCTTGCGCTTTCCAGGCAGGCGCTTAGACCGCTGGGCTATCTCCCCAGCTGTAATGATTAAATAAATTAATGCAGTGTAAAATATTTAGCAACAGTGTTTATTTTTTAAATTTTATTTATTTATGTGTGTGTGTGTGTGTGTGTGTGTGTGTGTGTGGCCAGCTCAGCCCACCAGGGGGCAGGGCTGGCTGGCATGTGGTGCTGGGGGATTGAACCGTGGTCCCTGTACTTTGCTAAGCTTGTTCTAAGCAGGTGCTTATGAACCGTGGTCCCTGTACTTTGCTAAGCTTGTTCTAAGCAGGTGCTTTAGACCACTAAGCCATCTCACCAGCCCCAGCAACAGTGTTTAATAAAGCTTATTAGTTACCATTGATATAGTCTTTTGCTGAGGTTTTAAGGTATTTCTACAAATCTTTTTGCTACTATTCTCATTCAAGAGGCAAAGCTTACAAAGCTTGATTCCTCCTTGAGGAGAGGAGAGGCTAGACTTGATGACTTGTTTCTAATGAATAGCCTAGGGTGTAGGCAAAGCAGTACTGTATGACTTCCTACACTAAGAAAAGCATGGTGGCTTCCTCCTTAGTCTCTCTAAGATCACACGCTTGTGGGAGGTCATCTGCCATGTTAGAGGGAAGCTCAGGCAGCCTTGAAGAAACCCATATGTAGAGGAACTGAGGTCTCCTGCAAACAGCCATGTGAAGGGAGGCTTCATGGAAGCATGCTGCAGTCCCACACAGACCTACAGTAGGAGCCTGCACTCTGCACTAACATTTTGATTGCAGCCTCATGAGAGACCCTGAACCAGGAGCCACAACTATCTGTGGCCATCCAGTTAGGTTGATCTGGGATTGGTGACCCACAGAAACTGAGATAATAAATTTTTTTTAAACCACTAGGTTGTAGGGTAATTTGTTAACACTGCAATATATGATGAGTACTTTTTCATTCACCATTCAGCCATCAGGACACCTTCTCTGCTCTGTGCTGGGCTTGGGGCCTCCTAGACACTCCCAGAGCTCCAGTTCTCCCCATGAAGTAGCTTCTATTCCTTGAGGTTTATATTCCTGACCTTCTGTATTCTTGTGGTATAAACTTCCTGAATGGGACTATTTCAGATCCCTGTACCCTGGCAGGTGGCTAACTGAGAGGTAGCAGGTAGAGGGTCATTCAGGTCTGATGACTTAAACTGAATGAGGGGTAGGTCTGGAGTGGGAAGCAGACCATTCACTGTGGCTAACTATAGTTCCCAGAGGTGGCTGTGGTCATCTCTTCTACCCATGTGATTGTTTACCATATGACTTCAACACTCCTCCCATCAAAAGGAGTATATGTTTCCCTAACCTTGAATCTGGGCAAATTATTACTGTCTTGATCAATAGAATACAGTGGAAGTGACATTAAATGACTTCTGAGGTCAGGTTACAAAGGGTGATCCAGCTCCCTTCTTGCTGGTTGGAACATTTGTTTTTGGAGCCCTGATCTGCCATGTATGATGCTCAACTACCCTAAGACTACCAAGTCACAAGGAAGCCCAGGCCACATGGAAAAGTTCTTGCAGGTACTTTGGCCCCACCTGCATCTGAGGTCCCAGCTGACAGCCAGGACCTAGCACCAGGTGCATGATTGAAGGAACTTTCTGGATGGTTCTAGCTCCTAGCCCCTGTGTCTTCCCGGTTGAGTCCCCTGATATCTGGAGTAGATACGGCCAGCCCTCTGTGCCTGAGTATCTGATCCAAGACCGCATGAGTGCTGGGGTCACTTTCATTTTATAAAATACATCAAGAAGAGAATGGAGGATCTGAGGGTTGAAAGTGGTGGGGAATGGCAGGAAGATCCTGGCTTCTCCCTAGTGGCTGGTGTAATCCTGAGACCTCGCAGCTAGGAGCCCCAGTGCGATCTCCAACAGGCTCCATGAGAATGGCCTACCTGGTGGGTAATTGGGCCAGTTGCTCCAGTTCCTGTTCCATGTGTTCCTGCAACTCACTGGGCCTCAGCAGGACTTGGCAGATGGGGCAGATCGGAGCTTGGCTGTCAAACAATGCTGCTGCTTTCTTCTTACCTGGTGAGGGAAGAACAGGCACATGTGAGCAATACGGGTCTCTATCCCAAGCCTGCTGCTACTGAGACTCAGAGGCTGAGAGCCCAGGAGCATCACTGTTTCAGAGCTCCTAAGGCTGGGACCATAAATGGGGCCTTCTGAGCCTGCTGCCCATCTTGGAAATCTACCAAGAGACAGTAAGGGTTTTTTTGTTTTCTTTTAGTACCAGGGATTGAACTCGGGACCCTGTACTTGCCAGGCAAGTGCTTATGCCACTGAGTTATTCTCCCAGCCTCAAACCTGGAGCATTCAGGCCTTGACCACCCCATTTCACACGTATTTAATCATAGCATCACCAAGAAGATTGAGTGCCCCTCCCCCGTCCCTCTCCTTGTCTGCTTTTACATTCTTCAGATTTAGAGAAGGAAGGCAAGGGAGGAGGAAGGGAATTCAGTGCAGCAGTCATTCAGCAAACATCCTCTCATGCTTACTCTGAGTCAGGTATAGAACTGTGCAGAGCCGTGGTATTCTATTATGGAATCAGATCTGATTTCTATCCTCAAGGACCTTGTGGTTGAATGAGTGGGAAGGATCAACATGGACTACATTACCTCCAGGATCATGATCTTTCTTTTTCTCCCCTTCCCAAGCCTCTGTTCTCAGCCTCTGCTCTCATTTTGTACGCTGGATGATCGTGTTCATTTTACGGCCCTAAGTCCCACCCACCCATGTCTTACTGACAGTGACTGTGTTTCTACTCTGGATCCTTCCAACTCCTATATCCAAGTGTCTAATGGGCATCAGTGCCTGAATTTCTTTTTTAAATTTTTTGTATTTAGGACAGGGTCCATAGAGTCTCACTATGTAGCTCGGACTTGTAGTGACTCTCCTGTTTTCAGCCTCCTAAATGCTGGGATTACAGATGCGCACCACCACTTCCAGTCTCAGTTGCTGTCTCAGTGTGCCCCAGGGGTGGGGCTGGCATAGCACACCAGGGATTGAACCCTGGGTTCTGCCTAAGCAGGCACTTTAGTCCACTGAGCTATCTGGCCAGTCTTTTTTTTTTTTAATAATGCAGCTTCTTCTTCTTCTTCTTCTTCTTCTTCTTCTTCTTCTTCTTCTTCTTCTTCTTCTTCTTCTTC